AATCCAGAAGATCCCTCATTACAAGGACACTGGACATTATGCTACTGAAAGACTATTGAATTAGTGAGGAAATCAAAGAAGAAATTAAAAACTACCTTGACAAGTGATAATGAAGACAAACGTTTCAGAATATTTGGGACAGCAAAAGGCAGTATTAAGAGGAAAATATATGTAATACAGGTCCACATCAAGAAACAAGAAAGAACTCACAGAAATATACTAATCTCCTATCTTGAGGAACTTGGAAGAAAAAGAATTTAAAAAAATATAAGAAGGGGGAAAAAAAAGATGAAATAGAAGTTGAAAAGACCATTGAGAAGATCAGTGAAACGAAAAGTTTGTTCTTTGAAAAAATAAGCAAAACAGACAAACCTCTGGTCAGGCTCACTAAGAAAAAGGAGAAAACTCAAATAGGATCATAAATGAAAGAGGAGAAATCACAACAGACATGGCAGAAAAACAGGCTAGAGATTACTATGGACATTTCTGTGCAAACAAGCTCAACAATCTAGAAGAGATGGGCAAATTCTTACACAGTCATCTAAGACTGAACAAAGAAGAAATAGACAACTTGAGCAATCCTATTACAAGTAAGGAAATTGAAACAGTAATCAAAATCCTCCCCAAAACAAAATCCTAGGACAAGATGGTTTCATAAGTGAGTTCTACTAAACACTCAAAGATGGACTAATGTCTATTCTGCTGAAACACTTTCAAAATTAAGAAGGAATGCTACCAAATACATTTTATGAGGTCACATCACTGTAATATCAAAACCAAAGACAACACAAAAAAGAAAACCACAGACCAACCTCACCAATGAATACAGATAACAAAATCCATACTAAAACCTTTGCAAACCAGAGCAACAATGTATCAAAGGCATTAAACACCATCAACAGTGGATTCATTCCAGAGACATAGGGATGGTCCAACACCCAAAAATAATTAACATAATTCATAATTCAACAAAATAAAATAAAAACCATATGATCATATCAATAGATGCTGAGAAAGCTTTTGATAAAGTTCTCTATGGTGAAAACCTTGAGATAAAAGGAACATATCTCAATGTAATAAAAGGCATAAATGACAAACCCACAGCTAACATCATTCTCAATTGTGGAAAAACTGAAAGCCTTTTTATTAAGATCTGGAGCAAGGCAAGGATGTCCACTCTTATCACTGATTTTCAGTGTAATAGTGGAAGTACTGGCTGGGACAATTAGGTGAGAGAAAGATACAAAAGGAATTCTAAAAGAAGAGGTAAAGCTATCATTATTTGTAGATGATATGGTAATATATAGAAAAAATCCTTTAAAAATTCTACAGGAAAACTAAAACCAGTTCAGTAAAGTAGCCGGTTACAAAATCAATACACAAATATCAGTAGCCTTCCTATATGAAAAACAGTCTGATCAGGAAGAAATTAAGAAAACCATCCAATTTACAATGGTATCCCAAAAATTATATACCTAGGAATAACCTAATAAAGGAGGTGAAAAAGCTAAAAGAGGGAGATTATAAAACGTGAATATAAGTAGAAGACACAAGGAAATAGAAATACATTTTCTGTGGATACCATGTTTATTACATAAGATATCTTAAAATTATTATTTTAATCTGGTAACACCTTTAACTTTGTTCACATATAACAGCTCTACCAATCAGTATTTTTTTTTAAGATTTATTTATGTATCCAAGAACTGGGGTACAGGCCAGAGGAGTGGGAGGGTGAGAGGATTCATCAGAGACAGAGTGGGGAACAGAACAGGCAGACTGACTGAAGTACACTGCTGAGGGGAGCAGCAGGCAAGGCAGGAGATGTCTGCTGTGCCATGTGGGTATCACCCTGTCTGGAGGTTGAACTAGTGTTGCAGTCACTGCAGATAGCTTCATAGTGCTGGGAATTAACCCCTTGCGCCACCAGGGATGCCCAATCTTCATACCATTTTATGGTATTGATATCTTACATATTTACTATATTGTATAGCGCTGAACAGATTTATTTTTGCTTCAAGTCCATGCTGAATTAAATATGATTTGTTCACCAGGTTTTTATTGATGGAGAATTATGGGGGGTTTTTTGTTTTGTTTTTTTTGCGGGGCTGGTGGGGGTGGTGGTGTTATTTACTTTTACCAGAGAATTTCTTATGTTTTCAAGTTTTTGTCCTTTCATTTCCATTTTAAGGACTCTTGTTGGCATTTCTGGTTTGGCAGGTCTAGTGCTGATGAACTCTACTAAGTTTTTTATTTATCTGAAAAGTTTTTATTTTGCCTTCATTTGGTTTTGAATGATGGTTTTACTAGCTGTAGTATTCTTGCTTGGCAGTTTTTTGACCCTATGCCTTGAAGATAACATATCACTCCCTTAGTACCACTAGATTTCTGCTGAAAAGTCCTCTGATAATCTTATGGGAATTGCTTTGAATGTGATGGTTCGCTTTTCTCTTGCTATTTTCAAAGATCATTATCTTCGTATGACTTCTGACAACTTGATTGTGTTTTTCATGTAGCTCTCTGCATTCTTTGTTGTTGGAGATCAGAGTTTCTTGAATTTGTATGTCAATTTACAGCCTCAAATTTGGAAAGTTTTTTTTTTGCCATTATTCAAGTAGACTTTTTTTGCCCATTTTCTCTTGTCATTCAGGGTCTCCCATATTCATATATTGGTACACCTCATGGTGGACTTGAATGTTGCATAAATCTTTTAGTCTTTCTCCATTCTTTTTCATTCTTTGTTCTTTTTGTTCCTGTAACTCAAATGATTTGTTTCCAAGTTTGTTGATAGTTTGTTTGAAAGTTTCTGTCTCATTAATTTTCTCATTTTCTTCATGTGTTATTTTCTTGACTTCAGTTTCTGTCTATGTTCTCTTTTATCTCACTGAGCATCTTAGTGTCACTATTTTGAATTATTTGTTGAATATTTCATAGATCTCTGTTTCTTTAAGGTTTGTTTCTGGAAATATAGTCCTGTGATTGGGCTCTGTTTCTTTGTGTGACTGCTTCTCTTTTGTTGAAATTTCTGCATTTGAAAAATCCTTTTCTATTCTTCAGAATACTTTCATACAAAGGGAAAGAAGGAAGACTTGTCAAGCCAGGTAGATATTCTGGGGCTCTCAAACTTCCTGGAGATGCATATTTGATGCATCTTTTTCATTAATCTCCCACTGGAAGAGTTTATCTTTTTCTATTGTGGAACTCTCCCCCTAGTATCTATCTTTCATATTATAGTCTTGCTGCTACTTTAACAAACCATGGTTTTGGAGTTCCCTTTGCTTTCTGTTTCTGTTCCTGCAATTTTCCTGGTGTTGCCCCAGTCAAAGAGATTTCTCTTTGTTCACATCTGGCCTCCAGGCATCTGCCAAGTGTCTCTTCCTCCAAGTCAGGTGAAATAGAAACCAGCCCCTTTGACAGTTCCCCAAACAGCCAGAATGTTGCACGCAAGTTCCACTCTTCTTTTTCCTTCCTGAAGGAGAAGCTACAAGTTGGGAATTTTCTCTTGATTCCGCCATGCTCTGCTGGGAGGTGGATAGGGTATGTGCGGGTAAGTGCAACAGACTTTTCTACTCACTACAATACACCTCTTCTTAGCCTTGCTTTTCTTGCAGTGCTATAATCTCTTAAATGGTTTCTAGAATTCTTACAAAAGGAAATCTGGTTCATGTATTTTTAAGTTGTTGTCTCTGTGAGGGAAGAATGGAGGTGTTTCCTATTCTGCCATCCAACTGATGTCATCATGCTATAGTGTTCAAGCTTCTGTAATGACTCCATGCCAATGTCCTAAACCAGTTGTATTTATCCTTTACGTTTTACTCTTCCTTTTCTTGTTTTTCTTCCTGAAATATTCTTTAACTTCATCTTGTTTTGAGTATACTGATTACTTCAAGTCCTATTTGGAGATTCAGTCCTTTTCCCACAAACTTTTTCCATTGATGCTACACTGTTACTTTAATTTGCTTTCTGATTGTTTCAAATATCTTTGTCCACAATCACATTTAAGCACCTTTAAAGCAGTTTCTTAATTCTATATTTTGTCTCCTCTACTCTTCTACACACTTAGTACAATTGCTGTATTTCGTTGATTAAAATTATCCCCTTGTCCTGTTAAAAGCAGTGAGATATATTTGTTGTTGAGAAAAGAAGAAATGTTTAGTGGCATCTGTTTGATGTTATCCTAAGCTCTTAACACATTTGCTTTGACATGTATTATTATTACATTTAAGTAAGTCTTGGACTGATTTTTTTCCCTCACTTTAAGAAATAAGTGATTATAGTACCATTATGATGAAGGTCCAAATAGTGGAAATTAACTTGTCGATATTAGAATTATATTTCTATATTATCTGGTTTTTAAGGGGGGAAGGTTGAAATAGTGATTCTTAGTTAGAATTGAGACATCTTTTTATGAAATTATCAGTCACTGTGGCAGGTATTACTTTCAAACAAAAAATATAAAAATAACTTTGAGAATTTTGATTTGTGACCTAGGGTACCATTTATTTGGTAGTTTCCTTCTGCTTTCATTCTATGCAATTTTGCTTTAAGTCATAGTTATCAAGCATTTATCTGACTTAATGAATATTTAACATACTTTGTTGAGTTGCTGGTGGTCATCTGGTGTCTGCTGTATGTGGTATGTAGTAGGCAATCATCATATCTTTATTGAACTTGTGTGTCCATTCACTCACTTGTATTGTTAGAATTGCTGAAGCCTTACAGCATTTAAGACATTTTTATATTGTTTATTGTTTTTCACTCAAGATACTGAGATATAGGAATTATACTTAATCTTACTCATGGTAAGCAGTTATTTCTAAGGATTAAGTGATATGGTTAGAGTACACTACAAAAGGCAGTGTCAAGACACAAGTTCTTTCAACTAGTAATATTTTCTGCGTTATAGAAATAACAGGTAATTAACAACTCATATAAAGGTCTTATTTTTAAAGTTTTCTTGTACATCGGATTTTATTTTCTTGGGTATTTTTCTCCCACAGAATCCACCAAACCCACCTGTATCACCAGGAAAGTCTGTAATTGATGTCAACAGCAATAACAATGCATCCTACAGGTGAGAATTATAAGCAGTCTGTTTGTCAGAGTTTTAATGAAAAAACAAGTTTCTGATTTTATTTTGCAGGAAAATGTTGGAATGTTATTCTATGTAATTATGTAGAGATAGTGGTATGTTATATTAAATCAATTTCCTTTTTTTCCCTTTTTTGCTTTGTTACAATTGTTCATCTCTGGATGTTGACTTTAATAATTTATTATAGAGCTTTCTTTGGTTGTTGCAGATGGCTATATAACTTCTTATAATATAATAAATCATACTCTCTCAATTTTTTGAAAATCCTTTGGTAAAAGATGGTAAAAGCCAATGTCAGCAGATACTAGAACCTACACTTGGTTTTCAGGAGAAAACTGAGCACATTAGTATATAAGCGAGAAGACTCTTATCATATTCCATAAGCCCCAGCATTTTAGAGTTTGTGTGCCACTTTTGCCTCAGTATATTTATTTGCTTACTGCTACAGTATTCAAGTCTACACACCCCTTTTTCCTATAGGCTACTATTTTCTCTGTGCTTAAACAGATGTCTCCAGTAGCATTTCCATTGACTATTTGTGTGCATATATATTTCATAGAAATGTAACCACAGTGAGACAGATGCTGGAGTCCAAAAGAAATGTAAGCGAGAGTACACCATCATCATTTCAGACCCCTGTGAATACAGGTAATATTCTTTAACATTGAAATACATTTTCTCAGGAAATGAAGGTTGGTTTTCTTTTCTTACATTCTTTTGATGTTTAAATAGACTAAGAAAGTGAACACACTGATAAAAAGAGTGTTAATACAAAATTTCATTTAAAAAATCAAGATTGTAGATATGCATGAAAATACAGGAATACAAATCTTTACTGTAGTGATTCTTACACTTTCTGGTATCTCTACCCCTGTATGATCATATAATCTTTAAAAATTATTAAGACCCCAGTGAGCTTTTTTTGTGTGTGTTTTTTTGGGTTTTTTTGTTTTGTTTTTAAGATTTATTTATTTACTTTATACAAACACTGGGTACAGTCAGAAGCGTGGGAGGGTGCGAGGATTCACCAGAGACAGAGTGGGGAGCAGAACAGGCAGATTGACGAAATACACTGCTGAGGGGAGCAGCGAGCACAGCAGGAGAGGTCTGCGTGCCATGTGGGACCCTTGCCGGTGGCTGGGGATTGAACCGGCGCTGTGGAGGCTACGGGCAGCTTCGCAGACCAGTGCTCAACCGCTGCGCCACCAGGGAGGCCCTGAGCTTTTATTTTTGATCAATATTTAATACAGTAGAAATTGAAACAAAATATTTAAATGATTGTTTAATCAGTTAAAATTATTACAGAGATCATATTTATAGAACACAAATTATGTCTTAATGAAAAATACCTATTTAAACTTTAAAGTTTTAGTGAAAAAGTATTATGTTACATCTTTACAAATCACCTTTGTAATTTACTTTAAAACATTAAGACTGTGGGCCTACCCTGGCGGTGCAGTGGTTGAGCGCTGGGCTGCAAGGCTGGGCTGCGAGGCTGCCCAACAGCCTCTGCAGCACCGGTTTGTTCCCCGGCCGCCGGCGAGGGTCCCACCAAAAAAAAAAAAAAAAAATTTAAGACTGCTAATGATTGCTAAATTTTCAAATCTAAATCTAATTGAATCTGCTACAAATTTGTTGTTATTATTGAAATATATGAAGGAAATTCAGTCTCATACAAATGTATATAGTTGGTTAGGACTAGGTAACATTTTTAGAGAATTGTGGATATTCTTGCTTGACATGGCCAAGTAATAGTTTCTTAGAGGTTAGTTGCAAAGTGGAATCTGAAACCCAATCAACAAATCTTTTATTTATTTATTTGGGGGGCTTAGATGTATCTTTTATAGTATAATTTTTTTGATCAGTTGGGAAATTCTTATTAAGTTATCTAAATCTTCCCAGGGTTGGTGCATTTCATTAGTATATAAATTTTCAATATGTAGAATAGTAAGGAGAACTGTACTCGGGTGTTGACATTTAATAAAATCAGTAGTTTTTACTGCTTTATTATGGACATATTTAAGTGAAATAATTTTGTTTAGTTTTTCTGTAAATGTGGTTATAAAGAATCCAGTTTGGTACCATAACCATCATTTTTGTACTGAGACATGAGAACTTTTACTCACCATTGTTTTTGCTCTATCACTACAAATGTCTACATGAAAAAAAGGTCAAATAATGTGTTATTGTTATGAAAAAATTTTGACATTGGAAACTGTCAAAAAAAAAAAAAAGGGTCTCAGTAACCTCCAGGTGTCCTCTTGGACCACACTTTAAAATTTGTTGACCTAGAATATCTGACTTTAGAAGACTAAAAATCTGAAAAAGAAATTTGGTTATTGATTTCAAAGCTGTTCAAGTGAGAATAAACCTAAGAGTTGAACCAAAATTACTATAAAATACCAGTAATCAGCATTTTGATTTTGTCTTTAGTGTCTTCTCCCTTATTTCTTAATTTATCTCCCACCATCACTTTGTTTTTTATATCATATTATGTTAATAATGCCAATATTAGCATCCCCTCAATTTGCTCCTAGAAAATTCAGTGAAACATGATCCATAGGTACAGGTTTTACATGGTCAAAATGATAAAATGCCATGACCAATTTTATCTGTTACTCATTAATGGTGGTGACCCTAAATTTTCTGTTTGATTTTCTACATTGCCACTATTCCGTGGCATTTATAATTCTTTTAGTGTGATTTCAAAAATATCTTTACAGTTTTACATAGATTTTACATAGATTTCTGTGTTTTGTTTCTCCAGTTAGTTTCTCTGAGGTGATTATAGTAATTTTCAAAAATTGTTTTTGATGTTGAAATAGCCGTCTTCCATATTAAGTATAAATTGTCTCCTGTTTTCATAATGTACCAAAAATACTTCTCTAAATGAAATTTTAAGATTTTCCAGAATGTAAATCTGGAAAAAATTCATTAAGAAAGACTTTACTCTGTCTACTATATATACTACATTAAATTTAAAATAATGCAAACTATATTGTTATACTAGCTGATAGATGAAGATAGCCATTAAAATCTGAGATTTTTTTCTTTCTTTCTTTAGTATCTTCAACCAGTCTTGTTACTCCTCCAGCGGTTGTTAGTGGTCAACCTAAATTGCATACTCCAGTGACTTCAGGTTCTCTGACAGCAACATCAGTTCTTCCTGCACCCAACACAGCTACAGTAGTTGCTACGACTCAGGTGCCTAGTGGAAATCCCCAGCCTACCATCTCTTTGCAACCTTTACCAGTGATCTTGCATGTACCTGTTGCAGTATCCTCCCAGCCTCAACTTCTGCAGAGTCATCCAGGGACTTTAGTGACCAATCAACCATCCGGCAATGTTGAATTCATTTCTGTGCAAAGCCCACCTACAGTGAGTGGTCTTACCAAAAATCCAGTATCCTTGCCATCCTTGTCAAACTCCACTAAACCAAACAATGTTCCTTCTGTGCCCAGTCCCAGTATTCAAAGGAACTCTCCTGCCAGTGCTGCACCATTGGGAACAACACTTGCGGTACAAGCTGTTCCAACAGCACACTCTATTGTACAAGCCACAAGGACTTCTCTACCCACAGTGGGCCCCTCAGGACTTTATAGTCCCTCAAATAATCGAGGTCCTATACAGATGAAAATTCCAATTTCTGCTTTTAGTACTTCATCTCCTGCAGAACAGAGCAGTGCTACGACCCTAAGAATTGGTGAGTCACTGTGTAGCTTTAGGATGAGAGATTTAAGCATGTTATTGACCTATAAGTAATTGAACGTGTGTGTGTCTGTGTGTGTAAGGGTACATGACTAGCATTATTGGATGAACATGGTAAATAGAATTTCCTAGAGATTGCTTTTAGTAAGTTTGGAGAGAAATGATGTTGTTAAAATGGGATTTGAGGAAGAGTTTGAGAAGTGAACGTTTGTTATTTATCTTTTAGTCATTTTCATAATCTAGATGAATTTTTAATTTAAGCTTTATAGCAAGCATTATTTTTACAGTACATTTGCCAGGAATTTCTGAATAGAACAAAAACTATTTTAAAGTGTATGGTTGACAGAATGGTTATGCAAGAAAATAAAAGCCACATATCTTTCCTACCAATTTGGAAAAATCATTTGTGCGTTCATTACTTGTATCTTCCAAATTTGGACAGTTTAAAACTAATTTCTTCCCCTTCTAATTTATTATAAAATATTTGATTGTTTCTAGTTTTCTCTTTTGTATATTTTCCAGTTTGAGATATGTCTTTATATACTTCAAACTTTTTGCAAAAAGCACAACTTGATTGTACTAGTATATAAAATCTAAAACTCTGTCTTCCTTATTCCTACAAAGCATACTTTTTGTATTCTTCTTAAACTTGCTTATTCTTCATTTCTGACTTCATACTTATCGCCACTACTTTTGTAAAGACAGGCAAGAATGAGTGGACATCATCTATATAATGAAATTGCTACAGTATATCTGTCTTACTAATATGATATAGTAGGTACCCAACCATGAAATATAAGATTCTAAAGTACATATTACTTTTGTAAGCAAGAGTGCAAGGCACTTTTTTTTCATATAGCCTTTGGTAATACACTTGCCTTCTCAGTATATTTCCTCATATAAAATATATAGTAATGGCATTTCACGGACTTGTTCTTATTGGTAAAGTTAATTTTGGATTCATAGTGAATATCACTCATAAAATTCACATCTAGAATATGAAAGTTTTTAAATAAAAGTATAATTATTCCTATTATTTTTTAAAATTTAAATGTTTCCTTAGTAAATTATTCTTTTGCAAGTACCAACTATCACAAAACTAAAAGATGCTTATATTTAGCTAGTCAGAGCAAGCACAATTTTTTGGGGGGGAAGGGTCTACTTTATTTTTCTTTAATTTCTCTGCTAATCCTTGATTTTTTTTTTTAATAAATCAGATAGAAGATGTTTTATGTGATTTTGGAGTTTTTCCTCATGAAATTTTGAGACTAAGTTGATATTGTTTTTAGTTCATGGTCATATGAGTGTCATATAGTATATAAAATATACTATATACACATATATTTTATAATTAAATTTATTTTCTTACATCATCATTCATTTTTGTCTTCCCTGCTATTCTCACATCACCATAGTCCCTTGTGCTCTTCCCTCTCCTGTTGTGACTCCTCTCCCTCCCCTTGCCCTACCTTATGCCTCAGATCTAAGATCAGCTAGCAAGCTTTGTCTTTTTTTCTGACCCTTTGTGTAGTTTCTCTATATTCCAGTATAAGTGAAACCATCCAGTATTTTTCCTTCTGACTTTGCTTAGCATTATCCTTTCCATTTCCACCCATGTTACTGCAAATGGCATGAGTTTATGTTTTTTGATCACAGAGTAATATTCCATTGTGTATATATACCACATCTTCTTGCTCTATTCATCTGTTTGGGAGCATTTCAGTTGTTTCCATCGATAAGATATATTCTTAACCTCTTAGTTATATACAGTGTTGTCAAACAGCATTACTTCAATTTAAAAAAGATGTGTTCTTAAATATAGAAATTTTCCTGAAAAATCACGGTCTGAAAAGAAATAACTTAAAAGATTAATGTTGTTAAATGTTATGTATTCTAGTACCCTAAACACGTCTACAAATACCAGGATTATAATATAATTTCATTGTCTGTTCTCTTAAAATTTTTATGAATATTTGTTGACACAAAGAGTATGTATTTGCCCAAAGTTATCTAGCTAATACACTTTGTAGGTCATAATAAGTGTTGGTTTGTTTTTATTCATTTAATTACTTGACTTTTTATTTTTGTGTGAAAATTAAGTTATTACTAGTATATCATTCTTTTCTGATAATATACACTTACACTTAATTTCATGTCTTAACATCTATTTAGCACATTTATGTGTACTTTATGTTATATTAAGTAGCTCTTTAGTTCAGTGTCTAGATTGCATTCCTACATTTGAAAGAAAATTATTACATACTGACCATAGTGTGAATGAAAAACTTTGTATGTTTTTATTCATGTTAATTAGAATTAAAGCCTATGAGATGATTTGGGTTTTGATCATGCATAATTATAGGGATGCCATCAATTATGCTAAAATATATAGTTACTTAGAGTCCCCAGAACCTAAGATGAAATCAAATAACTAAGATTTTACTGAATATAATAAAGCCAAGCTTTAATACATCTCTAATGTGATAAATTGATGGTTTACATGATTGAAAATCTTTTGAGTCTTATACTTAGGTACTATTTATAAAAAACATCTGTCAGCTAGACTGCATTTGTATATATTTTATTAGTTTTATAATTCCTATAGAGTAAGTATTTTCTGTTTACATTAAGTAAAAATGTCCTAGGGATGACTTGGAAATTTCAGAATAAAATTTAACTAATTTTATTCTTTCATGAATATAGAATGACTGTATTGCTTTAAAATCCTACACACAAAAACAAATGTAAAGATAGTCCAGTCCCTATTCTCACCAAGTTCACAATCAAATAGAGAACTTGGCTTTAAAGTAAGTTGTTATAAATATGATGACTCTCAAGATATGCAAGTTTCTGTGAGATAATGTGGGAGATCTGGAAAGGTATGAAGTAATGTAAAGATAGTGAGAAAGGGTTAAAGGATTTTTGCAGAGAGCTCAGATGTTGGTTACTATTAAATCTATGTACGCTCAACTGCAGGGAATGGTTTGGGGGAGATAAAAATGGAATTAGGGATACCAGTTAAAAGACTCCTGTGGTTTGAAAAAAATTCAGTGTTTTCAGTCCATTCATTTTCATTCAGTTATTATCTAGCACTAATTTACTTTTGTAAAATCATTTTATGGCTCTTATAAAAATGCAGTGTTGGTTTAAGTAGCAGTATCTTTTAAGAATAAGAAAAATGTTTCCCATATGATGGAAAGTTTGAGGTACACCTTCTGTGTTTTGACTGAAAGATATATAATTTTTACTTTTAGAAGTCATCTAGTAAGAAAAAAATAGAATGAAAATGTAAAATGTAACTTTAAGAAAGTATATAATAAAGGGGTAGGAGATATAATTGAAAGTCTAGATAAAAAATATTATAGTTCACTGAATAATTCTTAGCTATGACACAGGTCAAGAGAGAATCATGCTGGATAACAAAACTCAAAGCTATTTTATGATATGTGGTGTGTTTGTGTATGTATAATCTTTTATAAAGAAATCTAAACCTTTCCTGAATCTTGGGAAAAATTTTATGAGGCAATCTCAACATAAAATAAAAAATGAAGCCTCCCTTATATACTTTTTATCTTAACGTTTCATTTTCATTTCAAATGAAAAGGAGTTTCAACTCCAAAAGAATGTATCCTGACATCTATGTAAAAACTTTGGTAGTGAGTCATTTTTATGTTTTAGTAATGTCATCAGTGTATTTCAATATTTACCATACAGAATTAGTAACCATGTATTCCTTTTTTCATTAAACGGTGTTTCAAGAATTTCATAGTCCAAAAACTATCGGTGATTCATTTATGAACGATGTAATTTTGTTATTTAATGTATTTGCCTATGAAAAGAACTAAGATAATTCAGATGAAGTAAGTAGAAATTATAAGGGCCTCTTTTTTATTTTCGTAGCCTAGAAAAACCTAACAGGTAGCTGTCTAACTTAACCATATTTTTAATGTACAGGTTTACATATGGGCTTATGGGAATATATAGCTCTATCTCCTTTTTTTAAAAAAAAATATACATATGACAACTCAGTATGTGCTCTGAAGATTTGCATATGAAAGGAATGCCATATTTGACTAGAAAGGTTTTATTCACAGAAAGCAAAATTGGGAAGTTTCAGTCTTAGAAATGTGATTCACCATATAACCAAAGAGGAAAAGCCAAATACTAACCTCAGTGATTTAAAGATATGATAAAATTTAGTATCTTCTCTTAAGAAATTGAGGCAGAAAGAACATTGCTTATCTTCTTGCTGTGATGGAAGTACTTTCATGTGATTGTGTGTGTGTGAATTTAAAAAAATGAATAAAGAAAGAAAAATCATCTGTGATTGAACTGCTGAGATCATGTAGTGATTCTCAGAATCACTGTGCTTATTAACTTTTTCTGATGAATTTATTATATTTTTCCATGTCATTAAAAGTTCTTCTGGAAAGGCATATCGTATGGATGAATTAATTATGCTTTACTTAACAAGTCATAGTAGAACATTTACGTTAATCACATCTTAAATAATTTCCCTAAGATATTCTTGTGATAGAGTTAAAATTTCTGAATCAAAGGATATGTGAAATTTTTTTACCCTAATATGAATTTCCCCTTTTGAAAAATATTATAGCAGTGATCTATGATAGATTCCATTTATGTATGGAAAAAAGCACATGAACTTCTGTATATGAAGCAGCTGAACCTTTCACATTTTTGTAGAGCTTCTAAAAAATGGTTCTGACTTTTTGTTTTTGTTTTTACTTCTCAGAAAACCAGACAAACAAAACATTAGATGCTTCTGTTAATAAGAAAGCAGCTGATAGCACATCACAGGTATGATTTTTCCTTCTGTTTCAAAGTAAAATTCTAATTAAAATTTACAAGAACAGATTTCCATCAATATTCTTTGATATAATGAAAGTTATCCTAAGTCTGGTTTTTACCACTCTCAAAAAAGATTTTCAAGCAGCTTCTCTAATGTTTGACAAGAATCAAGTTTCTTTGCTTAGTAATTCTTAGTATTGGTTTATTATTATTAACTAACTGCTTGGATTATATAATTGACAGTATAGTTACTTGCGTTCATATATTGTAAAAATTCAGTCTCCCCATTGATTTTCCTCCTGATCCATCATTTAAAGCAGGTCTCATTGGCTTACTTTCCTTATACCTCCTCCCCCAATACACCCACAGTCTCTTTAACTGGTTATAAACATCTTTTTGGAAAGGAAATCTTGGTCTTTTTGATCGCTTATTAGCATTTTGCCAGCTTGCTACTTTTTCACATTATATTTTAATTACCCAGGAAGGGAATAACTACATTTTTTCCTGTAATAACAGTGTTTGTTTGACTTTTTCCACTATATTACTTTAGATGTAATAGATTTATAGGGAAGTCATTTGGTTATTGGTGTTTTTTTTTCTTTTTCCTTTCTTTTAATTATTGAAAGAAACACATTCCTAACAAGACAAAGTCTTGAGTAAATCAGCCAGGAATAAAGGACATGAATTTTAAAACGAATACATAATGATCTTTCATAGTGATTGTTTTCTTTTAAAGTAACAGATTTTTTACCCAAACTAGATAAAACTAGATACCATGATTTACAGCTCAAATTAAAGCCATTAGAAATACTTTATTTCTTAAAATTTTGTCAGTCTTTGTGTGATAGTAAAGGACAAAGTTGTGTTATTTTCTAAGGATTTTTTGTGCATTATTGCTGTTGATAATTAGAAGTATATGAAGTACTTTGAAAAAGATAGAATAGGAAATAATAATATATTCAGTGATTTTTATGGGATGTATGGGTAATCTTTATGACAAACCTAACACTAAACAAAGAATTTGCCATCATCTTTATTTTCCTTGGTGATTTTTTTGTTTTTTTTTGGTTTGGATAAGCTAAGTAATATTTTTAAGATAGGAAACTTGACATTCAGTAATGGCTGTGTTTCATTTTATAAATGCTGATTCTTCTAGAGGTATACTTTCTCAGTATGTAACCATAAGCGACATGTAGATTTAATTCCTCTATCTTTAAAATGAAATTTTCACTTACTCTGTCAACAGTAACCCCATTTCAAGCCTCAGTAACCACTTATGACCAGCCAGTACCAAATCAGAAAAACACAAATGTAGAAGAACATTTTTGTCATTACAATGTGATAGTAGATTGCTAAAATGAAGTGTTTGTACCATTGTCAACATTTAAATGAAATTAAAATTGATGTAAATATTGTTATACTTTAAAATTCAAGAAAAATATACCCAAAATAATATAAAATCTAATTATTCCCCAACTTCTTATCTGTAAATCTAAAACATCACAAAATTATTATACATTTCACAGTTTTAGAATCTGAAATACTTTACCTTGCCCTATATAACTCACAGTTAAAGAAATGACTTGTACTGGTGAATACAAAAGATGCCTGAAAAGACAAGAAACTGCATTAGACATCCAAGAGCACAACTAAGTGTTAAGCTCATCATGGAACTTGTATGGCTTAGAGAATGAGGAATTTAGTAGTAGAGCATGGAAAATGCAAGCAGTTTGGGTAGGCAGCTAACCTCCTAAAATAATGCCTGGTTAAAAATAGTAAAGTTTAAGAGAGAGAAAAGCTTCAGCTTTTAATGAGTGCCACTTATAAATATGATTTGTAAGTATTATTATATGATGAACCACTATGGAAGTATATATGCGCTACCAGATATCAATTCATGCTTTGCTGTCTTGACTTTTCTGGTACAATTTTTGTCATCCTACTTGATATTTTCATTAGTGTAATATTATTATACTATTTCTAAAAGCTATTTTTAAGAAATTTGTTAGCTTTTTAACCTTATATATGCCACTTGCTGAGAAATAGAAACTTGTATGAAATAGGCTGTGATTCTTTAGACTGTCATTTTTTATGATCTCTTGACTAATTTGTTTTTCTATGCCAAATCTTAAAATTGCACTTCTAAACACCTTAAAGCTATTTTAGATTAAAAGGATTGTTTTTTCTTTCATAGATAATTAGGAAATAATTAAATGTGAAAATAATCTTTTTGTAATTCTTGAATGAAGATTTCTCTAATGTCCCCCAAATAAGTGTTTATTAGCTTATTTCATATAATGAACTGCATGGTTTATTCATTCAGTTCATCATCATACATTAAACAGAATAGAATTCTTTTTATGGTGCTTCTGCAGTTACATTGCTGTTTTGTCACCCTTAAGTTTGCTGATTTGCTAAAAGGACTCATAAGATCCATAGCATTTTACATTTGGTTATGGTTTGTCTTAAAAAATCTAGAAAGTAAAAATAACAGGAAGAAGATATATATCAAGTAGTGTTTAAAAAGATCAGGTACAAACTTCTAAATTCTGTTTTCAGCATCACACAAAATGTGTTTTTCTCTCTAGTTGTTAACTGTAGGGACGTGTTCAGAGGGTCTTTGAAGCCACAGTGAGCCTCAGGGTATGAGGTATTTTCATGGACTGATCATGTAAACTACATCCTTCTGCATAACCAGCCATGATACTTGGAACCTCAACAATTAAGCCAGTTGTACATCATCAGTCTTGATTTTGTTGCGTATAAATCCTGACAAGCCATTATGACACAGTCAATTGCTCAAAGTGTACATAGGAGAAATTTTAATTATTAATGTGAACTATCCAAGGGACAAATAACTGGTAGCTAATGAAGTCCCAATTATAGTGCCAAGTTCCCTTGGAAAGATGGGCAAAAATTGAATAACTAGGTCTTCTGTGTTCACTTTCTTTGTGTAATTATTGACATGTTCTACTCTAGCCTTTCAAATATATTCTTATTTATATCATCACCAAAAAAATAATAACCATACAGAGCCAATCCTTGCTCTCTTGACATGACTATGATTTTTTTTATAGTTTCAAATTGAGATTATTGCTAATATGCATAAATGCTGATACAAACACATGATGTCTCTGATTAGAAATTTTTTCTCAAAAATGATGTTAGGAAAAAATGTAAGTATACATATATATGTATAAATAATTTGCTGCATAATGATATTTCAGTCAAGAATGCATATACAATAATGGTCTTTATAGTTAGATTAGGTTTATAGTAGGCTATACCGTTCTGGGTTGTGTGAGTACACTCTGTGATACTTGCACAGTGATGAAATCACCCTGCATCAGAATGCATCTCATTTTGCATTAAGCAACTCATGACTGTTTTTATTTCTGTTTATAAATCTGCTCCTAGTGGCATAGAAATAATAAGTTCTTTGATTCAGGCAGCTTGACTCCTGTCACTTAACAGTGGGTAACCGTTGAGCCAGTTCCTTAACACCTTGGATTTCTCATCTATAAAATGTGGCTAATGCTTGTACTCACCTCAGAATTACTATAAAGATTAAAGTTGTTAATGAATGTGAAACATTGAACACAGAGTGTGATGAAAATAATGCTCGCTATCATAATTATACTTGCTGTTAATAATTATTGAAATAATTGCTACTTTTATTTCTCAAGAAAAAAATATAGCCAGGAAACTATAATGTGTGACTATAGATTGATTGTATCAGTTATGTTATGATCAATAAAACTACAATTCAGTAGATAGGTCACTTATAGACTTCATTGTTCTATTATAGATTATACATTATAGAAAATTTTGCACCTTACAGTAGAGCATCAAAACATGAAGTGAAACCAACAAAGTGAAATAGATTGACTTTACCATTATAAAATTTCTCTTTGTATCTTGTTTAATATTAATTGTTCACAAGTGCTTTTAATGTTTGTTTATTCAGTCTGTTCCTGTCTTTGTATTTAGTGACTAAATAGATGAAAAATTATATTTATTTCTTGATGTGTTAATCCATCTGGCAGTTTCTGCATTTTGATAGGAAATTTTAGATGATTTACAATTAGTGTGATTGTATTTTGATTTGCTGTTTTATATTTTTTAAATTAGCTTTATCTAGTTTTTGGTCCTTGTGCTTTATTTTGTGTTAGTTTTTGTTTGTTTTTTAACATTCTAGCCTAATTTTCCTGTTGCCTTTCTTAGCTCTGTGTGTGTTACTTTGTTTTAGAGATTTCTCTGGGGTTTGTAATATATATCTAAATCTAAATCTAATTTTTTTTTTTTAAGTAGCAAATCCAAGTAAGATTTATTTATTTTTAAAGATTTTTTTATTTATTTATACAAGAGCTATGGTACAAGTCAGAGGTGTGGGAGGGTGAGCGAATTCACCAGAGACAGAGTAGGGAGCAGAACAGGTAGACAGACCGAAGACACTGCTGAGGGGAGCAGCGGGCGAGGCAAGAGAGGTCTGCTGTACCATGTGGGTAGCTCCCTATCCTGGGGTTGAACTAGTGCTGCAGTCACTGCTGATAGCTCATAGTACTGGGAATTAACCAGGGAGGCCCTCTAAAAGTTATTTTAATATACTTGAGTTAGTATTGAATTAGTTAGATAAATTAAAGAGACCTTGCTATTATGTATTTGTTTACCCCCTAATGTTTTTGATTTCCTTATATATATTACATCATGTTTTCAGATATATTATGGTCTTATTTTTACATATATTGCATTCTCTACTGCATCTACACATGCTATAAATCTGTTAATACGTTGTTGTTAACTTTTGCCTCCTAGCATCATGTGTCTTTTCAAGAAATAAAAAATATATAATTCTTAGCATTTATGTTCATATTTACCTTTTCTGCTTTTCTGTAAATCTAAATTAGCATTTCCTTTCAAACTGAAGGCTTTTCTGAAGATCTTACAGTGTGATACGAGAGTGATACCTTGTTTTTATTATATATGTAAATATGTAGTTTGTTGTCTTTTCCCTTTTTTTGAGGAGTCACTGAATTATGGATAATTCAATGTGTTGCTGCCATTGTTTTTTTATCAGTACTCGGCAATGACTATGTGCTTCTCTGTAACAGTTTTCATTTTCAAAATTTTCTCTTCATTATTAGTTTTCAGTAGTTTAACAAGCATGCCTATAAATAGGAGTGGGTGTATTTGGGTAACTGAAGCTCCTGTGTTTGTAAATTAATGTTTTTTGTCAAAAATTGGGGAATTTTTGGCCATTATTTCTTCTAATAATTTTTTTTCAAACCTATTCATTCTTTCCCTTTGATTAAGGTCTTGCTGAATTGTTTGTTATTATATAGGTCTTTCTGAAAATAATGATCTAGCGTCCACTTCACTGAGTCTTTTATGATCTTGAACCTACTCAATTAATTTTTATTTAGTAATCATAACTTTTCAACCCTAGAATTTGTATTTTTTGTTTCTTAATTTCTGCTTCTGAGATATTTGCACACTCGTTAACATTATTACACTTTAATTTTTTGACCAGATATTTAGTAGCTGATTTGAAGTCTTTGTTGAATTCACCATCTGACTCCATATGGAGTAATTTTCTATTGACTATCTTTTGCTTTTTACACTTGATTTTAGCCAAAAGGCTGAGAAGCGATTTCTTTTGCCTTTTATTGTGTTCTACTTTACTGTAATCTTTGCATGTTTGTCTAGTATCTGATAAACTTAATTTTAGTAAATTTTGAAAAAATGGACTTTATAGATATGTTATAACAAGTGAATTCTGTTGTGCTTTTCACAGATTTAAGAACTTTGAATTTTGGATTTCACAGATTTGAGCTGTTTGTTGAACAAGTCATTTTCTCTGAAGTTTATGATTGTAAAATTTAGAATTGCATTGTTACTTAGGATTGGACCCAATTTTTCTGGCATAAAGAGATTATTTACTCTAATTTTACAAAATTGGAGTTTTGCGAATAAAAATGTGCAAAATTATTTGGAGTTGATCTCAGTCTAATATATCATAATTATGGTTAGCATTTATTAAACAGTTACCCTGTGCCTTGTCTGGCATTAGCTCTCTGTGTACATATTCGGATTAATTTCTCATAATAGAGTCCTTATTCAAATTTTGGAAATTACCTTTAGACATACATCTACATAGCTAATATGTGTTAGGACTAAAAGATGTACTTTGTCTTTTTCACTTGAAGATTGATCCTGGTTATTATGTCAATGTTATATTCTTTTCCTATTTTGTTGCTATTCTATGGTTTAAAATTTTTCAATTACATTTCTAATTTTTTTTGCACAATGAATTGACTTCTAGTAAACTGTAGGTTAGTTACCAGTACAGCATACAACATCCTGCCATATATACCATGCCATTTTTATAGGGGACAAGATAATTTTAGATTTTCTTATATAACCTAATTCTACCTTTGAAGCTTCCTTCGACATTTTTGTGAATTAATACTGATAATCAAATTTTAAATATGTAAAGAATGGTGCTTGTGTTCGTTTAATCACAGTGAAAGAAACTGATCATTTTAATAGCACTGTGCAATTAACAACCTAATAAAAAAATTCTTACAGTATTTCTGGTGAAACTATTTAAAAAAAAATTTTGACAGGACAAATGTTTAATTCATGGGTATCATGGAGTCATTTATCTGACAAACTTGTTTCTTCAAGGGAATCAATTTTGAGGTTCAGATTGAACCAGGCTATTCATTATCCTCATTCCACCTCACCCCTAAATCGCCCCACCCCACCCCACCCCACCCCCGAGTATTAATTCATTTTCTTTGTCTGCCAGAGTCCTTTGCAAATGGGCAAATGTTTTGTTTTTCAGAGTGGAAAGGCCACAAGCAGTGATTCAGGTGGTGTTATTGATCTCACAATGGATGATGAAGAGAGTGGAGCTTCACAAGGTACTTAAATATAGGTGGTCATGTTAAGGAATGTTGATAACCAGTTATTCCTCTTAATCCAATATAATATTCAGCAAAGACAGATCTCTTCAGCTTTGTGCTTGGTGTTTGTGTATCCCTTTTAGAATAAGAGTTTGTTAGATTAGAATTGAAAAATAGAAATCAAATCTTGAAGAGAAGTGAACAAGGCATAGAAGAAAACAGTCTGGAGACTTATGGCACACTTCTCTTTATATCTGTTATTTCACATGTCCTGGAAATAACCCTGTTAACTCATTTTTGAGTTGAGGATATAGATACAGAGTATGAGTTAGCAGTGGACCTGGGAATCAAGCCCAGGTCACCTGACTCTAACTTGAGTATTTAATTTTGATGTTTTGAATTAATTTGCTTTGTGTAATATTATATGAATAAAAGTAGAAAGTAATGTTAAAAAGCATGCAAGTTTAAAATTCTCAATATTTTTTTGAATCATATTTGGAAATAATACTGGATACATGTTAACTAATATCCCCACTTAATCTTCTGTAGTGTTGGTAAATGTTCTTTGAATAAAAAGTTTTGTGGTTATATATGCTTGGGAAATGTTGAGTTAAAATTATGAGTCTTAATATAACCCTTGCTGAGTCTCTGCTGTGCTAATTTGTAATGTAAATCAACAAGAATGATTCCAGTCATGAATTATTTCTTAAATTTACTTGGCTACACAACATAACTGTTCACTGACATATCTGTAAAACTTTTTAATGATAATTATATATATTGCATGTGAAAAGTTGACTAAGATGGTGTTATTCCCTTAAAGATGTTAAATTTTTTTTAAAAGACTTAAAATAATATTTTAGCAAATACTATAGATTACTTGATTTTAGGAAAACAAAATTAAGTTATATAATTGACTATGACAGTTAAGTCAACTTTTTTGTATAAAAGTGACATATCATTGAAAGATTTATGCCATCATTTACCCAAAGTTTAATTTAGTCTAGTATGGTTATTTTTTTAAAAGTTTCTAATTATCTCTTTTGCTTTCATTATTTCTTTTTAAAAAAATTAAACATAATAAATCCCTAGAGGTCTAAAATAAATACAGGTTAATGTTGAGAGGAGATAGGTTGGGATGATTCTGGATAAAACATAAATTAAGCAAAGTTTGTTATTTGTGCTTTTTCCATTTCCAGTTCTAACATCCATACTTCATGAGATCTACCATTATCCCACCTTTGAGTGTATCTTAAATTCTCCTACTGTAAAGTGCATTTTTCTCCCCTAATATCCCAGTATTGAATTATCAGTTGCTAAAGCCTTAAATTTTATTTATATTTTAGTGAGGAATTCCATAGTATCGAAATCAGTGAAGATCATTTTTTTAAAGAATAATCTCTGGCTTTTAGTCTTTATATTATGTATTATGTCATATAGCAATTACCTTGTTTTTGTTTTTTTTTTTTTTCATCTCCCCAGTTACTATTTTTAAAGGCCTTATCTGAAATGCAAACATACAATTAATAGACTATTAGATTTTTTTTTAACATTGACACTATTTCATTTTAAATACAGAATGGCATAAGGAAGGAACATTTGTGTTACCAAAAAATGAACCTAAACAATTGGAATTAACTGGTGAAAAACTTTCATCAGTTTGTAAGTATTTGTCTAGGAGAATGTCATTAATAGATACATAGACTGATGTTAATGTGAGACATGAATTTATTCTAAATGATGTGAGACTGTATTGAGTTTAAAAGTAGGATTCTTTCATTAAAAAAATGTAAAACTTTTGTGAATTCAAATTAGAATCTGTATGAAACTGAATTATTTAAGGTCCTGACTTGGTTTTTAAATTGTCAAAAGTACAAATAATTAAATAGAAATAAATTAGATTTAATATTTAATCTAATAAATAAATTATTTTTTTAGTGATAAATGTGAGTAAATAGATAGCAAAGTGAAATGTATAAAGAAAAAACATGTATTTTCTAATTTTTTTCTGTCATAATCACTTAATTGACAGACCCTAAAAAGCTCAATCATACTCCTGTATCAACCCTGAGTTCTTCGCAGCCTGTGTCTCGACCATTGCAACCCATCCAGCCAGCGCCACCTCTTCAGCCATCTGGGGTGCCAACAAGTGGACCATCTCAGACAACCATACACTTACTACCTACAGGTAAACTTGCTGAATCATTGGATGGAAACTTTGGTCTTAACAGTGACATGTTACTATGAAATTGAATGGAAAGATTAACAAAATTAAAGTGCAATTCTCATGGTTATTTTGAAGACAAATATATCATTTTGAATGCAGTGTAACTTAGTTTTGCTGACCATCTTAAGTAGCAACATTGGCACAGAATGGTTATTAAAAGATTTAAACTATACACACACACACACACACACACGTATGTATATATGTATATATATATCTTTGTCATCCACGACTGTAAATAACAGGCATGAATATGGTTTCTTTGGAAGGGAAGCTATAGCGATTCATTTTTATTATAACCAAGAATCTATAGTTAACTGATCCAACAAGAATTTTGAAATGATTCTTAACTTGAGCTAGTTTTAAACAGCCTAATACCATGAGGGGACGCATACTAATATTTCACTTCTACTTCCCAAACTGTAAATCAGACATTTTCAAGACATGCCCCATATCTTCTAAATTATTTGGAAGCCAATCAAGATAGTTTGCCTTCTTAAAATACCCCACTGCTTAGAGATTTATCTTCAAAATACTTAAATATAAACCCTCTGACTTCAGTAAAATTAAATGACAGTCATTTAATTTAGGTATTTTAGAAGGAAATGTTACTATGCAAACCGATGTCTGGTATAGATGATAAAATGGAGAATAAAGTGATGAATAGATAAGAATTCTCCTTGTGTACTTTTTCCCCTTTCTAAAGAAAGAACCACATTGAAAGTTACCATTGCATTTGAAAGTTAGTTATGGGGTCCTTCCCGGTGGAGCAGCGGGTTGAGCGCTGCGCTTTGGAGCTGTCTGCAGCCTCTGCAGTGCGGGTTCGATTCCTGGCTGACCAGGGAGAAACCCACATGGTGTGGCAGGCCTCTCCTCCCTTGCCTGCTGCTCTCCTCAGCAGTGTCTTCAGTCTGTCTGCCTGTTCTGCTCCCTGCTTTGTCTCTGGTGCATTCTCTTACCCTCCCGCGCCTATTTGACTGTGCCCCAGTTCTTGTATAAATAAATAAATCTTTAAAAAAGTAAAATGTTATGTAAAAACTTAAGAGTGAGGCACAGATTGAGAAATGACAGGGTTGAGAAGGAAGAAGTCTTCTAAATGTATTGTTTTGAAAAAGAGATGGTTAGTTCGTCTGAAGAAAAGGTCAGTTGCACTAGTCAGCCAGGCTCTTGAACTATGGGAATAGAGAATTTTACTCTTTGGGATTTATATCTATTGGCAGAAGGCCTGGAGGGCCTTGTTTGCTGTTTTAAATCACTCCTATACAGAGCATCCTCTCAAGTCTAAGTCCTTCCTTTATCTTTATTATCTTGTCCAAACTAAAGAGCATGGGGGGGTGGCATGACTGAGCTGCTCTTCTAAAGCTTGGGCTATAATAGTAATTTCGGTTGGTCCTCTCATTAGCAGATGCGATTACAAAAGGAAACTATTGTCTATTTCTTTATTACAGCTTGTTACATTTTGTGCAAAGGTAATTATCATTTAATACTGTTTACTTGACATTTAAGTATGTCTTTTATATGAACTTAACTGTATGATACATAGTTTACTGAATTTTTGTAAATATGTATTTATATATCATTATATTTATATATATATTCTTGTCTTTCCTTAGCTCCAACCACCGTGAATGTAACACATCGTCCAGTAACTCAGGTGACTACAAGACTCCCTATACCAAGAGCTCCTGCAAACCACCAAGTGGTTTATACAACTATCCCAGCACCACCAGCTCAGGCTCCCCTGCGAGGAACTGTTATGCAGGCTCCTGCTGTTCGGCAGGTCAATCCCCCAAATAGTAAGAGATTTCTTATTTATGACTCTAAATAGCATGTAGTTCTTAAACATTTAGTTGCTGTCACTGATATTGACATTGTTTGAGAAAAATTGCTTATGATATCATATTAAAACTGTTAATTCATATTTCTTCCTCTAGGAGAGTTAACCAGAGAAAACTGGGATATATATATGAGACATAGTTTGTGTTCTATGTGTTTTCAACTTTAACTGTAATTTTTTATGTCTTATACTATTATAGTACCCTTTTTGATGTGGTGTACACTCTATTAAAAGACACCTTCCCTGGGCCTCCCCTCGTGGTGCAGCGGTTGAACTTTGGACTGTGAAGCTGCCCGCAGCCTCTGCAGCACCGGTTCCATCCCTGGCCACCGGCGAGGGTCCCACATGGCGAGACAGACCTCTCCTGCCGTGCCCTCTGCTCCCCTCAGCAGTGTATTTCATCAGTCTGCCTGTTCTGTTCCCTGCTCTGGCTCTGGTGAATTCTCTCACCCTCCCATGCTTCTGACTGTACCCAGTGCTTATATAAATAAATAAATAAATCTTTAAAAGAAAAGAAAAAAAAAGAATGAAAAAAAAAAAAGATACTTTCCCTAATTAAAGTGGGAATGGTCAATAGTGGCTTCATCCAGTCGATGGAAAGGATAGTCTCCAGTGAGAGAATCTTGACATTATGGTAGGTGGCTAAGAAATTAAAGACAGGAAAATGCTAAAGGAAACTTGTATTTTCCACAGTGTTTCTTCAATAGTAAAATATATCATACAGATAAGTTCACATAAAAGACATATGTTTAAAAAAAAAAAAAATGAACCACCTATGAACTCAGGCTAAGAAATAGAGTGCTGTCAATATTCTATAATCCTCCTATATGCCCACCTTGAATTTCATCTCTTTCCCTCTCTTTGCATCAGAACTGATCACCATCCTTAATTTCTATTTTTCTGTCTGTTTTTACCACCTATATAAGTATCATTTAGAATGGTTTTGCAGGGCCTAGCGCTGGGCTGCAAAGCTGCCCACAGCCTCTGCAGCGCTGGTTCAATCCCCGGCTGCCGGCGAGGGTCCCACATGGCACGCACACCTCTCCTGCCATGCCCTCTGCTCCCCTCAGCAGTGTACTTTGGTCCTTCTGTCTGTTCTGCTCCCTGCTCTGGCTCTGGTGAATTCTCTCACCCTCCCGTGCTTCTGACTGTACCCAGTGCTTGTATAAATAAATAAATAAATCTTAAAAAAAAAGAATGGTTTTGTAAAATTTGATAAGGGCAGATCCAGGTATTTAAAGATATTATAATAATGCCATTACTTAGTTGGTGGCTTCCAGAAGAAAATAATCCAGGCGGTCTCTGGAACACTGTTTTATCATTCTTGACTTTACAAGCACTTTCTCTGAGAAAATAAATCAAAAGGGTCATGAGTTAGTTCTGAGAAACGAGGCTCGCTACAGTCAGGTTAGCTGACAGAACTACAGTATAGGCCAGGTACTGAATATATGACCAATGTGGTTGGGGCAGTAGATGGCTCTAACTTTCTTCCTCTGTTGCTTTGATGTATATGAAAATAATTTTCTGTTGAATGAAACAAGTATCCTTAGCTCATCAGCAGGGCATAGAGAGAGAGGATTCTCATTAACACAAGGCATGGATAATTTAGTCCAAGATTTCTGTCCTAGTTTTAAAAATGAGACAGCAGAGATCTTTGAAGACAGCTTTAGTTTGTCTGTGTTTGGAGTAACACTGCTGCGTTCTGGCCTGTTGCCATCTTCGTGTGGTGTACTGTCAGTGCTCTGCAGTTCTGGGATTTCTGCTCATAGTCCTCTTGGTCGGGATTTCATTTGTTTCTCTTCTGTGTCACATTGCCTGTTCTTGTGTCTCAAAATTTCCTCTTTATTTTCTCTCATGTTGGTGACACATCCTTCAGTGGCTGCTTGAGAAAAGGGTTTGTGGAGTTTTATTTTGATTGCTTGCATATATGAAAATTTTTTATCCCCTTGCACAAATGAAACTTTGACTGAATGTAGACTTTTGAGATAGAAACATTTTTTTTCTTTTGACTTTTAAAACACCCCTTCACTGACTTGAAGTGTTTAATAAGTACTCCACTAAATTTATAATAGAATTCTAGTGTTATTCCTTAATTTTCTTTTGTAGGTGTCACAGTTCGAGTGCCTCAAGCAACTACATATGTTGTAAACAACGGACTAGCCCTGGGATCAACAGGACCTCAGCTCACAGTGCATCATCGACCACCGCAAGTGCATACTGTAAGTGATGACTCTTGGCTTTACAAAATTCTTACCTGTAAAGCTTTCAGATATTATCAGTTAGTATTTTTTGTTTAAACTAGTTATGTCAAAAGGAAATGACAAGTCTTCTATTTTTCCTGCACAAGTTTATTTGAGAAAATAAATAAATATGAACAGAATACGTAGGGATCATGGTCTTCAAATATCATTGAGTTTCCTTGGACGGTGTCCATTGTACAAAAAATGTTCACAACTGGGCATGTAAAATAAAATAGATCCTTTCTAATTCATGGTTAAAGAGTATTTTTTGACAAATCTGGCAAGACAGCAGCAGAATAAAGATAATAGGCTCACCTCCTCAAATATTCACAACTAAATTACAGGAGTTCAAAGACAACAACTTGTAAAAGATGAATGAATGACCACCACCTACGTAGGAAGCAATGGTCTGCTGGAAAAGACTAGGAAAAACTGTAATTGAGTAGTGTTTGCAGCAAAACTGGGCCAGTCCAACCCATGAAAGGGAGGGCAGCTGCTTTGGGAAGCCCCTCTGCTTCTGTTTTCTCAGGACCACATGTCCACACTGGGGACTCTGGAGATCTACCATTCACTCACTGCACAGGAGAAGGAGATACACAGGGTTGGCATGCAGGACGGAAGGTGCACTACTGGAGAGCAGTAGGAGTAGGGATGCAGAATGATTATTACAGGCTGGAGCCTGAGGCTCCCAATCTAGAATATTTGGAAACGGAACTGGCAGGAAAAAACAGGTTTGGATCACCTGTGTCTCCTCAGGGATGACGCTTTGTTTGCAGCCTGAGATTGATACTCAAAACACTTGCCTCAGTGTCACATATGACTGAAATCAAGACAACTGAATGCTCTCTCTAACCAAAATAAATCCTTGCATCTTAATGACAAGCTCTTAATAAGCAAAGCGCCCCAGGATGAGACTCCATACTTGAGAAGTTAAAAGAACAATTCTTGGTTTGTGGCTCTGTCTCAACAGTGATCTTACCCACTGCTGCAACACATACAACCTGGTGGTTAAGGTGGCGAAAAGCTATATGAGATATTTTGGCTGAGGAGTTTGGTCCAGGGGAGGGGATCCACTGTGGCTCCCCACCACACAATTGGGATACTAAGTGCACAGTAGGAAAGTTGGACCCCTGATGCTCACTGGAGATGACCTTTTGATTCCCTGCTGCCCTGGTTCCTTTCTTGCCAGTGACACTGCCCTGGCCATCTGGACATGTACAAAGGCAGCAGTCTGTTTACACCTAAAGGTGCTGGGAAAGATTAGGATTATACCCAGCTTCTTGTAGAGGAGCATAAAGCCCATTTACTAGGATAAGAAAACTCCCTATTAAAACTCAAAAACTAAAACTGAAAAGAAAATAACATCACAAAATGCTGGTGTGAGAAAACCACCAGGAAAGGTGGAATATTGACGCTTACAGCAAAATGGGAAGAATTGGAGGGAGTGATGTGGAGTAAAGCAAGTCACAGTGACTAAGACAGATACTGGGTTTTTACATAGCAGATGATTCAGCAAAGAGAGAGCTTACAAAAATAGTAGACACTAATAAAATAAGTGAGTTTCTAAAGTTAAAAGAGAGAAGGGAAGAAGAAAAGAATGTAATGGATGGCAGTGGGAAAAAAATTTTGAAAAATGAGGTGACCATTATAAAAAAAGTCAAAGGTAAAAAAAGTATTTTTAAAAATTTATTTTCATGTTCTGACTGTATTCTTTTCCTCAAAACCTTTTATCAGTTCTAACTGCTACTTTACAATCACGTCATTTCTAATAATCCAATATTATTGGAAATTCATTTGTCAGAAGTTAATAGAGAAAAACCAAAAATTTCTCCTTAGATTTAGCCTCCAAAATAGTATCACATTATTCTGTGATGTTATTTTAAAAGATTTTAATTGGTATTAGTAAGCCATATAAATGAATTTGCTAGCTTTGTGAAGGAGATTAAAGCTGATACCACTTTTTACCATACAAACCTTTTTGTTGATGTTCATAATAACTGGCATTTACTGAGGGTTTACTATGTGCCAGGCATTGGTAATGTAATTGATCTTTACACTGATCCTTGATCCTGTAGAACTCTTGCTCTCTTTTTCTATCCTTTATTACAGATATGACAGCTAATACACAGAGTCCAAGGTCCTTGTAGCATAAAACCCCATGCATTTCAGCTTTAGGGCTTATGCTCTTAACTATTTTATTATTTTATTAATGGAGCATTTATTACATAGACAAAGTACTTAAGTAAGTACCCTACATGTGTTATCTAATTTAGTATTTATAACCTTATGAGGATTATTCTCCTTTCAATGGAAATAAAGATCTTAAGTGGTTACCCAGTGTCATTGGGTGTCAGAGCCAGACGTATTTTAAAACATATTGATTCCTGGCACCTCCAGAGGGTTTTCACAGTGCTTCACATCATCACCCTATTTGTGTATGTGGCCATTATTCAGCATACTTTTTTTGCAATTAAAAATAATTTAATTCCATATTTTCTAAAATATATAGCAAAAAAATTCTTACTGTAATTTTGCAGATTTGATGATCTATCAGGTTTTTTAATGATTCTTTGTGTATTGCCTTAAACTGTATCACATAGAAGGGGCATTTGTACAGTCTTGTTTTTTAATCACTTTATTTTTACATTTTATTCTTTAAATATATATATATATAATTATGGCGAGAACAGTGTGTAGTTTTCTCCACATAACCTGTCACCTCTTCAACAGTTTCACCACATGGACAGTCTTTGATCTACAGTGCCATCACTTCTTCCTACATCATGTATTACATTGGATTATTTTGAAGCAGATGCCTGATGTATTATTTTGTCTGTAAAATTTCAATAAAAATCTCTATTACAATGGCAGGAACAAAGCAAAACCATAACTCATTTGACTTAATTACTTTGGGATATGAGCAGAATCAGAATCCTAGAATTTGAAGAATTAGAAATGACAGACCATTTATTAAGCCATTGTCAAACTCCTTAGAAACCTGTGTGCCCTCCAATCAAATTCATACCTTTACCCCTTTTCTCTTTGATTTTGTTAGCCTTAATATTTATATAATGTTATTTTCTGAACAGATTAAGTCATTTTAGGGAATAAAGAACTTGAGAGAAAATAAAACAAGGTTAATATGCTAATCACTTGTACTTCATCTTTCAAATTTTTCATCTACTTTAATTTTTTTCCTTCTAATGTACTTTAGTTTTTTAACTGTAGATTGTACCTTTTACTGGATATGTAATGTCTAGAAAATGATTTTTTTCCTACTATATATGATTTTGAATAGTAGATTTGCATTCCTTGAAATTATTCAATATGTGCTTTTTGAATTGTTACTATTGATATGTACAAGTTCCTGTTATTAAGCTTTGAGATGGCATACATATTAAAAAGTTATAAGACCTTTGCAGATTCATTAGTGTAATAAAAGTCATTCATTTAATGAAATGCATAGTAAAATACAGTTAAATGAATTTCAGTTAAGGAAATCATGTTTCATGAGTTCCAGTATAAAGTCATTGAGGACTGAAGTTTTATATGAACAAAAGAAAAGATCATTCATATTCCTATTTCATAGCAGTTGAATCTTTTGGGGGGGGGGAAATCACTGTCTTAAAATTCAGGTGTAATAATGTCCAGTGTTTGATATATCAGTTTGATTTCCTGACTTAGTATTCATGCTTTCTGATCATTTGGCCTTACCTTTCCATGTTTATCTTCCTTACATACCCTGTGTCTAAGTAAACATCAGTATTTGTTTTTTGCCTACAAATTCCTCACTATTCCGTCATCATGCCATCATGCCTTTGCTCATGCTTTATTTGTTGGTAGAAATGTGCAGAACTGTTTCTGCATTTCAAGTCCTTTCTCTCATGGGCACCTTTTTCATGTAGACTAAGAACAAAATATACATTGAGCATAAAATGTGCAACTGTTGTTATATGGAAAAATAGCTTTCTAATGAAAAAAATGCGTTCTCAAATTTTATATGCTAGACTACCACATATGATATTGTTGTAGTATACTAAAACGAGACCTATAGCACAGAGAATTAAATTACAGGTAGAGAATTCAATTAAAAACAAATAATTAGGGTCTCCCCTGGTGGCGCAGGCGATTGAGCACCACACTGTGAAGTTGTCCGCAGCCTCTGCAGCGCAGGTTCGATCCCGGCTAGCCAGCAAGGGTCCCACATGGCGCAACAGACCTCTCCTGTCGCACCTGCTGTTCCTCTCAGCAGTGTGCTTCAGTCAGTCTGCATGTTCTGTTCCCTGCTCTGTCTCTGGTGAATCCTCTCACCCCCCTGCGCATCTGGCCTGTACCCTGGTTCTTGTGTAAATGAATCAATAAATCTTAAAAAAAAAAAAATTAAATTTGTTAAAAGTTGATGGCTATTTCAGTGTGTGTTTTTTTTTTTTTTTAAAGATTTATTTATTTATTTGTTTATTTATGCAAGCACTGGGTACAGTCAGAAGTGCGGGAGGTCGAGAGAATTCATCAGAGCCAGAGTGGGGAGCAGAGCAGGCAGAAGGACTGAAGCACACTGCTGAGGGGAGCAACGGGTGGCAGGAGAGGTGTGTGTGCCATGTGGGACCCTCCTCCAGAGGCCGGGGAGCAACCGGGGATCGAACCGGCGCTGCAGAAGCTGCAGGCAGCTTCGCAAACCAGCGCTCAACCGCTGCGCCACCATGGAGGCCCTTCAGTGTTTTTCAAGATGATTCTAGCAGCAGGGATTTTATTCCCCCGCCCCGCTACCCCCCCGCCAAGACTCAAGTGTTTTAGATCTAGAAAGTAAAGTAGGAGTACCTCAGCACCATTGTGGGGACAAGCTGTATTACAAATCAATCAATAAAACTTGCCAAATTTGGTATGATGTTTGGTATTTCCCAGTATTCTTAGTGTTAACTGATGTGTCTCTAAATGATCTCTAAGGTGTTTTGGTTCTAGAACTCAGAAATAGTTCCTTATGTGGTCATTGTAAATCAACGTAACTCTTCTTTTGTTAGGAGCCCCCACGCCCTGTGCATCCAGCACCCTTACCAGAAGCCCCACAACCGCAGCGTCTGCCCCCAGAAGCTGCCAGCACATCTCTGCCTCAGAAGCCACACTTGAAATTAGCACGAGTTCAGAGTCAAAATGGTATTGTACTGTCATGGAGTGTCCTGGAGGTGGATCGAAGCTGTGCCACTGTTGACAGCTACCATCTCTATGCTTATCATGAGGAACCCAGTGCCACTGTGCCCTCACAATGGAAAAAGATTGGAGAGGTAAAGGCACTTCCCTTGCCCATGGCATGCACTCTCACCCAGTTTGTATCTGGCAGCAAATACTACTTTGCAGTACGAGCCAAGGATATTTATGGACGTTTTGGACCTTTCTGTGATCCTCAGTCAACGGATGTGATCTCTTCATCCCAGAACAGTTAAAACCTTGGAGCCTTTATCTCTTCCACTTTCAGAAGTTCCACTTTTTTGGTCTTGTTTTAATCTTGTGCATGATACCCATTGTAAAATCCATATTGTGCAAGATTTCTTGGACAGATGTGTATATACACTACATTTGTTTATAATCAGAGGTAAAATAAACTCAGCCCATAAAGGGAGAATTTTCCTGGACAATTCAAGCTTCAAAGTTGGAAATGTAAATGTGCACCTTGCTTTAGTTTTGACGTTGGGGAATATGTGTGGGTGTTTTTGTGTGTTTTTCCCTATTTATATGTTTATTGCAGTGGAATCTCCCATTTTCATTCTCCAATTTACCTCTTCTGGTATGAAGTAAGTAGATGATCAAAGGATCTGAGGTATGTAACTGGCATGATTCTGCTTCTAAGGGATCTGGAGTTTCATAGTTAAATGATTTAAACGGAATCTAAACAAAACCCAAAGAAATAAATAATAAGCAAAATTACTAAATAGTTTTAAACAGGTTAATTTGAACACAGGAAAGGATTTGTTTATCTTTTCTTTTGTCTCTTCTGGGTTGTTAAGTAGGCAAAAAAGATCTGCATCACCCCCTCCTTTTCCTCCTTTTCCTGATCTGGCTTTTACATTTATTTTGTGCCTTAAAGATTAACTACAAAAGTAAACAGGGCCACTTGTCCATTGTGGTTTTACTGCTCACTTTCAGCCTTTCACCTTCATTTCTCCTTCATCTCCACCAACTATATAGCATACTCCCCTGAAATAAAATTTAAACTAAGGCTTTTATATAAATATGTTCATCACTTCATTTAACTTCCCAAATTTTGACTTGCTGTTTTCTTCTAAAAATATAAATGCTTTTATTTTTGATCACTATTTAACTGTGTGTAAAGGTGATCAAGAGAAGACCATACTGTGTAAGAAAATTTTCTTTCAAACATATTTTAGTATCTGTGTTGCACACTGTGTTAGAAATTAAGAAAGCAATTCTAGTTTACATGATCACCCAAAGCGTTCTTTCAAAGGAAGTAATTAGTAAAGTTCACTAAATACAGGAGGCTAAACGATCAAAGGGAAATCTCTCTTTCCTCTTTATTCTTTCATCATTTTTCCTGTTTTCTTTCACCTTTTGTTTTGATGGTGCCAACATTTGTCTGTGTTTACCCTATGTCAGCTTTGAATGGAACTTAAAGTATATACTTGGGATCATTTTATATGACAATAAGATAACAATTTTCTGTGCATCTCTTTGCCTCTTCAAAGTTAACCCAATTTTGCTTAGGTCTTTCTTGGATTTTCAGTTTGGTTGCCAGCTATATTGGTATCAGGTAGGTGTTTGAGTGTAGATAGTTTAGGATAGGAAAGCTGGGGTAATTTGGGAGATGAGAGTGTGGTTGGAAATATTTTGAAAAGAATTTTTGAAGTTTGTGAAATAATTTTTCAAGTCATCTTCCCTTGCCATCTTTGAATTCTTATTTCTACCCTGTCATTAATTTTTCCTGGAATTACAGGAGGAGGCTATCCCTTTTATTAATGCTGCTTTGTTTTATAACTTTGATGACTTGTAGTCAGAAGCATTCTCCCCATACAAAAACTCTCTTTAGAGACTTCCACTAGTCACTGTGCTGTTATGCTAGGTGTAATGTTTGAATGATGCTGAAGAAAGCATACAGATTGCCAAAATGTAAATGCTTCCTTTCACTTTCAGAAAGTGAGATCACAATGAGAATTAAAGTTTCCATGAATCAAATTTGCCAACAAACTATATAGGTGTTACTCATTCAAGGACTAATGATGATGGTCAAGACATTCCCAATGTCATGCCAATGAAAATTTAAAAGGCAAAAAATTGATGATCTTCCAGATGTCTCTGAACACCTATCTGTATCTGCATGTATATATGTTTTTCCAGCAGTGGTTGCAATATTGATAATTAATCTAGATCATTCCTGTCTACAAGGGAAAGCCCATGTTCAAAATTCTTTATTGGCCTGTTTTATGGTCACGTAGTAACAATTTGTTTACCAAGTGTAGAAGAGTTCCCCTTTTTATTTATATTCACTGATACTTTGTTTTCCAAAGCTTTCATAGCATTATATAATCAGGTGAAAAAATCCGAGTAGAATGAAAATGTTGTATTATTTTAGCCTATCTTGTGTGTTTTCTGTCAGAGGAAAAAAAATTCTCAAATAGTAGCCCTAAAAACAGATTTTTACAGTAAAATAAAAGTTTCATTCCACCTGGTGGAAGGAAGGAATAAAGAGAGACTGTAATGATTTGAGGACAAAGTATGTAAAATGGTCTCACATTAACATGTCATTGTATTTAAAGTTCACAGCTTTACTGGATTTACTGAAAGGTGGTAGGCTTGAACTCTAGGCTTTTATTTTGAATATTTTTTAATGTTGATGAGCACTGACTCTTTGGTTTGTTTCTTTTGGGGAGAGAGAATGGAAGATTCAACTAGATAAAGCTGCTGATTATGACTTTAGTAGCACTTCACACTCCAAGGTACCTTTTTTTATTTCACAGGTACCTTTTCACAAAGTATTACAAATAAAATTGATTATCCCATTTTGGGAATGCAAGTTTGCTACATTTTTAGCCTGACAATACCTGTGTAAGTATTGTCTTATTGGAAATCCTGGAAACTTCTGATATTTCAACCTGAAATGTAGGATGTTTATATGGCATTTAAAGGTAACAGTGATGTTTGTTACTCTCTACTTTGCACTTTGTCAGAGTAAATTTCACCCTGTTTTAAGTGTGAGTAACCCTCTTTTTAAAATTATGTTCTTGCCAGTAAATTTATAAATGACATACAAAGACATCTGTTGTTAACTTTATGAGGTAACTAGCTCTCTGTTCCTCTCGACTCACTTTGAAAATATGCAGAATACTGTGTACTGTTTACACAGTGGATGGTTTATGAGAAAAGTGAAGAGTAGCGCTTTCTTCCTTAAAAGTGAGTATTGGGATACCATTGGCCTCAAAAAGAGGTGTTCCCCACTCTCCCCACCCCATTGCTAGATAATAACTGAAAAGTAAAATTGGGGGAAAAAAATACTTATAGCAAGGAGCTTAGAATCTTAGGTGCATCTTTGTGTAGACGTCCCGAGCCCCGCTGCACCACACGGTTCTCTTACGGTCTCGCGTTGTTTGCTCTTTTACTTAAATTTTTCAAATCATTTATGCAGCAAGGTGAGTGTTACTATTGCATGAGATGCATTTATCTTGTTCCACAAATTTTCCAGTACTGTACAAAATTAACAAAATAATGCCTGTGGTATCCTCTCACTGCTACACACTGTGATCTTAGCACAGTCTAATACTGCAAAGATCTTCCAAGTGTTCTCCCCAACTCCTTGTCTTGGGCAACTGAAGTATACTATAATTAGTTATTTTAATTTTATCATTGACTAGTCATTGGCCTGTTTTATTCTTTTTTTTTTTTTTTTTTTTCAGAAAAACCATGTCCCAGTATTAGATTATTACAAATAATTTATCTAAAACCAGTGTATGATTCTGCCTTCCTTACTCTTTATATAGGCAAATGATCTCCTCCCCCTTTCTTTTTTACTTTTTGGGACAAAAAAATCGATTGAAGCAATTCTCATGAGGTGTTCTGTTAGTGTGGCAGACATCTGATTTCTCAAACCTGTTCTCCTTGAGCCAGCCATTGGGGAAGAATAGGATAATACAAACACCTTTTCTCATCTTAAAATAGTTTTATTCTAAGTAAGTTTTTCTGGTTTTTTATTTGTAGAGTCAGCTAAGTACCCATTTGTATTTAAATGCTGTCTTTTTTTTTAAAGGGTTTGTTTGTAAATAAGGTAACTGGGCAATCAAACACCTTTTGGGGGACCTGGCTTTAGTATTTTATCAGCCATTTCAAAATTAAATGCAAAAATAAATTCTTTGTAGGAAACTTGCATCCTGATTTTTCTTTCTTTACAGTTTAAAGTGTAAATAATAAGACAGTGTAAGACCTAATGTCTAAAATAAACTGGGCTATAGCAAGTTGCCCTATTTTTATTAGGTTTTGAAGGTTTTTGTGGGTTTGTTTTTTTTTTTTAATGTAAGTAGAGTGGTGTCTGTGTAAGTGTTAACTGTAGTGGGATTTTGTCCAGCAAGCCTGAAATTTATACTTTGAAATAAACTACTGGGTTTTTAACATTCTGAGTATCTGAGTCATTCTAATGCTGATTCTTCTCAGTCCTTGTGTTGTTTTTTTAGATCTCTCTCTCTCACCTTGTTAAAAATCGCCTGTTAAACTGTACAGTATGCTTTACTTAACCAGCTTGGCAATACCATGGCTCTCAAGCCACATAGTTATTCAACAGTGAAAGAATAGTTGCTCTGTAGAGTTGCTCCCAGATTAGACAGTGCTTTGAACTAGTGGGAGATGACATTCAGGTGTGCTAGGTTGCCTGCCTTGCCTGCACCACAAAAAGACAAGCGATGCTCGTCAAGGACCAGAAAAATCACTGACTGTATTTCTGTCAGTTGTTGCTTTGAAAATGCTGCCCACCACCCTCTCAGGCCGTGTCATTAAGTATATCCAGCCAAGGGGGAAAGAAAGAACATGGAGTAGTCCAGGTTCTTAGTGGCCGGGCCCGAAGTGCCTCTCATCTCAGGTTCCATAGGCATGCGCTCTTGTCACGTGGCACAACTACCTAAGGGAACCTGGGAGACGTGGCAGTACAATCAGACATGAAAGGAGAATATGGATTTTGGTGAATGAGGAAGCAGTTTCTGCCCTGCCCGTAAAAGCTTGTCTGCTGAGGCTTGGTATTGTTGTCATATGTGATGTTTCTGTTATTTATTTATTTTTTCATATTAATCATTTTTAATTTTTTTGTTCACTTCTGGTTATTTTTTAAATTTTAATTTTTTTTAAATTTTACATTAACATTTTACAATACATATTTTTATTTTTGAACAATATTTGCTTCTCCCTACCCCCTCAGGTTGAGTCCCCATAGAATTTCCTTTCCCAGGGCACTGTACACCATCACCACAGTCCCCTTGTTAGGGGGAAAAGGATGTCCCAAAGCAAATTCTATACAGGCTTTGCGGACTCCACCCCCACCCCAGGTCAAAGCCAAAGACACTGGGAACTCCAAATCCCATCACCACCAAAGGGAAGGTGGCTGGGACCGGAGGGTGGGGTTAAGCAGCCAGGTGGATACAAAAGGCAGACACGTGGGCTTTGGGGATCCCCCATTTTGGCTCTCCGCCAGCTCGCAGCGTCCTGCCAGCTCTGAGAGTGACTTTGGGTTTCCAGGTCGTTGGATCGGGTAGGACACATTAAAGACTTTATTTCCCTATTTTCTCCCTGAGTTGTACATTTTCCTTATTTCTTTTTCTCTTGTAAATAAACCTTTTATTAACCCTTTTGTGTGTGTCTGTAGTAGAGTATTCATAAGTCCCTTTAAAGCGCGCGGGTGAGGACCCACAGCCAGGAACCCGTTCAATATCGGGGTTGCTCTATAACACCCTGTGCTACTCTCTCCCTCCTCCTCTCTTGCAGTATGTCTCTGGTTTATAATTGTCTGTTTTTGCTTTTTGTGTTTTGTACTATTTTTTTTACACTGATGTCTTATTTGGTTCCCCTATATTCCTGCTATAAGTGAAACCATCCGATATTTTCCTTTTTCCTTCTGGCTTATTTCACTGAGCATAATTCTTTCTAGCTCCATCCACGTTGCTGTGAATGGCGTGAGTTTATCTTTTTTGATTGCTGAATAATATTCCATTGTGTGTATATATACCTGGTGGGAGTGTAAACTGGTCCAACCACTATGGAAAGCTGTGTGGAGATTCCTCAACCTGCTAAAAATGGAGCTACCATATGACCCGGCAATTCCACTCCTAGGGATCTACCTGAAGGACACAAAAACATTGATTCAAAAGAACACCTGTTCCCCTATGTTTATTGCAGCACTATTTACAATAGGTAAATCCTGGAAACAACCAAATGCCCCAAAATAGATGGCTGGATCAAGAAGATGTGGTATATATACACAATGGAATATGTGATTTTTCTTTTAAATGCTCCACTCCATAGTGAATGCATCTTAAAAACTAAAATTAATAGTGGAAAGTGAAAGTGACAGATTGAAAATAATATATTTTATTGACTAATTCTGAGGGAAAAACATAGCTAAAATAGTGCCTTTGGTATCTCCTTTGTATCCTTCTAGTCCCTTATCTCCCTCCATTTTATGTCAAGTTACAAAGTTGGTTTCATGATCATAAAATCAAAGTTGTAAGCCTCTGGCATGCCCTCATGGAGAGTTTTGTTGAAACGGTTCCAGTGGAAAACAGGCAGGCCACCTTGTACAGTGGGACCACTAATGGCATAGGCTGTGTTCTTTGATGCTAGGTAGATATCTGACACCTGAAAGAGAGACGAGAGGACATCTTAGAAAACCACTTGGAAAACAATGACTAAATCCCTGTTTTTTCTCTACTCTTTTTCCAAAGTCACAATATTACCTCCCTTAGAATCAAATCTTGCAAGCCTCCAGAGACTTTCATGTTCTTCTGTATCCACTTGGCCTTCAAATATGAAATTGACTAGTCTGTATTAGTGCCAAAATATGAGATCTGGAGTCAGGTTACTCATATTCAAAAATGGTAGCTCCAAACTTTATTTAAAAATAACTTCCATATGATTCGGTTTTCTCATTTGTAAAGGAGACTAATCACTATACCTCATAGAAGACTTGTCATGAGGATTGATAAATAACAAATACTTGGGGCTGTTCCTAGAATAAGTTCATTCCTCAGTAAAAGTTGTTATTAATCAGAGCAGATCTGGGTAGCAGCAGATCTTAACCTTAGAGATTTGAAAAGAAAATGTCTTAGAACTTCTGATTTTCCTTGTATGTAAAATGGCTCAAGAGAAATGACATTTTAAAGTATACCCTGCAACAGAAATGTTTTTGATTAAAAATCAGCAGGCCTGTCTTAAGTAGATGAACACAGACAAAATGCAGATGGAAATGTGGCTTGAGTTCTGCCAGGCAGGGCAGCAGAAGGAATTTTTTGTATTCTGGAATGGGTAGAACATTTCTGCACACTTCACTGAATGTTTGCAAATACCAGTTAAAGAAATACTTAAAAAAAAAAAAAAACTTGGTGGTGGGCATGGCCTGGCATATATCTGAAGAGGTGTGAACCTGTACCTCTGAAAATATACAGTGCTATAAACCAGCTTATCACAATGAAAATAATTTTGAAAACTAAAGATACAAAACCATTCACTGGGGCTTCATGTATGCAGGATTCTACATCCACTAAATTTTTTTTACGTAACATAGAAAATCTTTAAGGCTAAACTTTTGCCATCTCATAGCTAAGAAGTATGTTGAGTTGAACAAAGACTACAAAGGCCAACAGAAAAAGTAATGTGTAGGGGTATCAGCATTCTTTGGTTTTCAGAGCTGAAGGTGGAACAGTGAATTCCACATCTACCAGATTTCTTCCAGAATTGAGGACTAACTTTGGAAATGAAAAGACGTGGTCACACCAAAAGTACAAAAGCTGGTGACAGAATGATTCTTCTGATGTCACATGGGTCAGTCATTCCCTTCAATACCCCACACCTGGTAGTGCAGGTAAATTTTTAACAACCCCCTAAAGAAAAAGCCCTGATTTGCAGTGTTTGTCCATTTCCTTGGTGTACATAATCCCACCAGTGCTGATTTCAAGCCATCACCATGGTTTCAGTTGATTTTAACAGTGGGTTCTCACAAGCCTAGAAGAAAGAGCCTGCTTCAACCAAGGGCTGCAAAACTAATTATGACCTACCTAACTGGATACATTTCCGCACATCTGAATTCTAACATGGTGAAAACATTGCTTTGAGCATCTGGCCTAATACTTTTATTCTGTCAACTCAGTTGAGTTTCTGTTGAACATAAAGTCACATCAGTAATGTGTTCTGTGGACTTTGTGCCAGGTTGGTAAAATGGAAGACGTCACCATTAATCACCACCATCATTGTGACTGCGTACAATTACTCAGTACAGTTCTAAATATTTTATAGATATTAAATGTTTATTCTTCACAACTCCTCTGTGAGGCAAGTACTGTTACTTCCACTCTGCAAATGAGGAAAGAGAAAACTGCAAGATTATGTGATTTTTAAGTGGCAGGGCGAGCACTTGAAAGTAGACTGCAGAATCTCTGAAAAGGCTGACTCCTGCATAGAGTTTGTGGTAAGAGATACTACTGTGCATTATGCCACAAAAACTTCTGCAGCTCTGCCTTTGAACAGGTCTAGGTGTTGATGGCAATTAAATTCAAAAGCCAGTCGCCTGTTACCTTTGTGTCATAGCAACCTCCAGGACTTGGGTCGAGTGCATTCAGGTCCTCACGGCAGCAGATGGTATTGCAGGGGTCACCCTTACTGTAAGGGTCCTTCTCATAATCTAGGAAAGAGGGATGAGGAATGTGTGAATACTGGCAGGTCAGAGATGTGCCCTCACCCACAGTGAACTCTTTGGACCTGTTAAAGCCTAGATGAAGGATATGTCACAGCCCTCCTCTACCCGTCCTGCTTTCAGATGCACACGTGTCTCAGATTGTACAAGGACCTGCAAGTCCCCTGCTCCAGGCCGACCTGCTCTCAAGAACCAACCTTAACGGGGTGAAGAGTAAATGAGAGAACAGTGGATAAATGTGCATCTTTTTTTTCCCCAACAAAAATAAAAATTTGACTTTGATGCTATCAAAAAAGTATTTATGAATAAGTTTTATTAGCTGTTTTTGTCCTTGGAAAGGAAACCTATGTTGGAGTTGGGGGTGGGGGAGGGGGAAGTACCTTGTATCAGTTATTTCCTCTGTGGTTTTTACATAGGATGTTTTGAAAAAGTCTGTGTGCAAATTTCCCTGTCATTAAGGAAGACAAATTCTATTTGTCAAGTGTAAAATACTTGTTAGTATTAAATGAATGCTAAATGTGTAATTCAATAACTTGCTGTAATTCCTGCTAGTCCAGAGATGATCAACTTGCATGGATTCTTTGCCTGGTGGGGAAGTAAAGGAGTTTTGAAGAATGAGTCTTGAGAAATGTGCTACATACTGTTGTATCGCATGATGTATTTCATGGACACCATATCCGTCACTCTCCCTTGGTCACGCCGGAAGATTTTGGCCCGTGAAGACAGATCATAAGAGTAGTCCAAGCCCAGCTTCTTAACTAACAGTGGATAGCCACTCCAGTTGTAGATTTTTTCATGGAAAGGGATATTATAGGAGGGCCAGTATCCTGATTTGGAATGGAAGACAAGGAAGAGCAGGGATAAGAATGAGGGAGACAGAGAAGGCAAGGGAACAAAAGAGATGTTATTAATGATAGTTTCTTGGAAAATTGGCACCGATAGAAAATTACAAAATGATATATAAAAAAAAAGCTTTGACTGTGAACCCTGGCAGTCAAACTGATCTTTGTAAATGGACAGAATTGGTATACCTCTAGATTATTCCTTTATGGGAAGAAGAGTATTGAAATTTGGTTTTCACCAAAATTCTTAAAGCAATCTACTAACCAAAAAAAACCTTTATTATTAACAGAACCGGTGAGTATAACACAAAATGGCAAGTAAATGGGGCTCACTGAAGTGGACTTAGTTACTGAAATGCCAAAAAGATGGTTTCCCTAGATTGGGCCAGGTGCCAATCATGGGCTAGCAGAAGAACCCAAAAACTGAATTGTAGGCTAAGATTGAGTAACTAGATCTTGGGCCATAAATCCTTTTCTTATAATAGGGTGAGTCCATAAGGTGAGCCTAATTTGGGCTGATTTTGACGATTCTAGGAGGCTTTTAACACCTTTGAGTTTAAGCATTTATAAAGATCAGATTCATTCAAAGCTTCATGGCAGGCCACGGCCACAGTCACTAAATAACAAAGAAGTGGCACAGCTTTTTAGCCACATCTCCAGTGACATTGGCCTGCCTTCCACCAACAGCACAGCCACCATCGGGCACCAGCCCTCCACCCCATCTTCTCTCAGCCCTTGTCTGCCTTTCTCTCTCTTTACTGTTTTATAGGTGAGATTTTTGAGACCAAACAAAAGACAAGACATTCAACCTTGCTGCTGCTTGGAGCTGGAGCCAGCATCAGGAAGAATTGAGATAGACAACACTGACAGAACAGGCTAAAGTCACATTTATTGCTACAGTATTTCTAGAAGTTAGACTGCCTGGATCTACTGTGATTAGGTATGTGACTTCAGAGAAATTACTTAAGCCCTCTGTGCCCGACTTTTCATTCATCAAGTGGGAGCAGTGTGTAAGAGTGAGGTGTGCAGTGAGTCGGTACACACAGAAGGGACGCCTGCAACACTCAGGCTGTGTCAAGGTGTCAACACTTGATAAGCACCCAGGGAACACGGGCTATTCTATTCTCTTTGTGAACCAGCCAAATGAATAAAAACCACTTTATACACCACATTTTCATGATTTACATGAGCATTAAAAACAGCATTTTGTATCATCTTGCAACCTGGTGGTGTATGAGTATTAGGATCCCCCAACAGGTTTGGGAGGCAGTGGCTGCCTGCTGACCACCGCACCCTGAGTGGGTGGTGCTCATGGCTATGATAGTATTTATTATGTGGGTGAATCACCTGCTTCTTTCTGAGACTTTCCTCCTTACAGTTAAATGGTAACAATACTGCTTATCAGGAAGACAGTTATGAAGATCTAACAGGAGAATGTAAGTAAAAGGCCCATAGGCATATCCAGTGGACAGTAGACTGCAGTGAATCTAACTCTGCTTCTCCCTCCTGGCGAAAACCCGTAGATAGGCATCAGCTACTGTTTGGTCTCATGGTAGTTTTCTTAATAGGATAGCAAAGGACCTGAATCTGCCCTTCTGCAGATCCTGCACTGCCCAGTAGCCATGCAAACAAAAGGCCTCAGGCCACCGGTCTCCTTTACGCAGCTTCTACCTCCTGGGGCAGTTGGGGCAACTCCTTCTAGGGACCAAGAGACCTGGTTTTCAGGTCAGGCAGTGAGGTTATCAGTATTGAACTGCCATGCCAACCAAGTTACCGGCTAGTGACTTGAAGTCTCAGGTTGACTTTGTGACAAGAACAGGAGGTAAATCTGCTCCTGCTTGGTCTGATACTACTAGGTAGTAGTATCTGCTCAGCTTGGCCAGTCAACATTCTGCTTTCATTAACTCTGTTTTATAAATACCATGTTCATTAATTAGTACTAGCCTTTCCTGCTGAGGTGGCCCATTCTGGGTGCCATGACAAGATGGTCCTTACAAGCCTGTCTCTCTTTACTATTTTTCCAAATCTTACACGCTGAATCTACAATATTAATCTACTATATTAAGCTAATGTTTTCTTGCACCTGTGTGCAAGAAACACATACACTCTCCAGACTTTCAGGCTGCTGACGTGAAGAAAGTACCTTTCCGTAGAACATCAGTTTGTTCAGAAAACTCAACATATGTGGGGATCTGCTCCACAATGTACAAAGCGCCGTTGTCCAGGCTGTGCTTCGGCTTCACCTTCTTTAGGTCCAGGACCATGTACTGATTATTGTAAGTACCTGGCATGTTGGGAGACATGAAGGCAGGTCATGGCTTCATTGGTCATTTGCAATCACATAAACACAAACCTTAGTGATTCTGCAGGGCCACTTACCAGAGTTGTATCTCGTAAAGATCTCTGCCCACTCCTTGCCACCATTTGCCATCATATTAGCCACACGGACTCTTTGCCAGGCCAGGAGAGACTGGGGTACCACATACTTTAGAAGGGTCTTATTATACACGCTATTTGTGGTCTGCAGCAATATCAAGCCACTACTGAGAATGTAAAAGTCATCCAGAGACTCTAGAAACCCTACAAGAAAGATAAACATCTACATTAGCACACACGGACAGATTATTGAACAGTCATCATCAGCACAGAGCTTCCCAGCCACAAAACCAGTGGCAAATTGTGCCAGTGATTGCTGTCCTTACTCTTCCAGCTTTGGCTCACCTCGGAGGCAGTTGCTCAAATGCTGCTTGTAAATGTACTAGTGGATCTTCATCCCTGGTTCTCCGCTGAAATTTTATTTTATGACTTGAATAGCAAAAATACATCAAATCAGGACTATACCAATGTTCCAAAATGATGCACGGAAATAGAACCCCACTGGCTAGGATTTCACAGGAAAATGTTCAATTAGGGAAGGATATTAGCAGGTGTCATTAATGAATAGTAAGAATCTGAATGCCTTCTTTCTACTTTACTATTTTTCCAAATCTTACACGCTGAATCTACAAGTTTTATAAATGGAAAAAAAATCCCATATTGATGAAAGCGAACACGGTTTTAAAACTAAAGTAAAAACACACTTGGTCAATGCTTTTATAAATGTTGGCGGCAACACAGCACAATCAGAGAAGCCACTGTCTTTTTGGAAGGCCTGTTTTGTGTTTATCCTGTGATGAGTGCCACAGAGAGCAGGGACTGACGGAGCTAGAACAGGGAGAGGACACGTGTCATCAGTAACCACCAGTGAGCACCAGTTCTCGGGGCTAAAGAAACACCAGAGTCAGGGAGCTCTCCCCCTGCTTCACATGCTCATACTGTTTTTATACTATTTCATCAGTTCTGCTCTAATTACTACTTATGATGTTATTTATTTAATATTTTTCCTAAGTTAACTCTTCACACTTAAAAATATTTTAACCTCACATACAACAGTAACCAAGGAATAGTGGGTTTAATGTTTTGGGTCCCCCACCCACCAAAAAACAAACAAACATTAACAATGCATAACAATACATTAACTATAACATGCCAACAATATACTTATCCACAGACCGCCTAATATCACCTCAGCAGCACAGGGCATGCCACACATTAAGCAAAACCAATAAAGCAATAAAGTCTGCTCTTTCAGAATTTGGAAAAGCAAGTGGAGCCTCAGAGAGGTGAGGGATCCCTCAAAGATCACCTGGGCCTAGGACCAAGGCCAGTGCAACCTCCACTGTCTGAACACTGGTGCCCAACCTTGCCAGCTCTCCTTTGGAGGCTGGCCTCTTCTCCTTCGTACAGGCTGGAGGAGGCAGGCTTTATGCAGGATGTGGGCCTGAGACTGTGTCTGGAAGCTTGTCTAAGTGCTGGACAGACAGAGAGCAGAGGGGCACAGGAGTAATGGAGATGGCACAAGAGAGTGCAGACTGGGGAGTAGGGCAAAGCCACAAAGTGCAGTTGGGTTGTCATTCATTCAGTCACTACACAGATGAGCTATTGTTCATCTACTCTAGGCCTGGTGGGGAGTCAAATAAAGGGCTCCCCTGAAACTAAAGCTAAGACTTCAGAGTACACACAGAGAGTCAGAGGATCTTTAGTTCCCTGCACTGCCTTTACTAAATCTGGCATGTTGCCTTTCTGTTCCTTATTCCCTTCTAAGAACCTGAGATTAAGTGATGTCATTCAGGTCTAACAGTCTAATTTTCATTTCTGAGTAGAAAGTTACAGGAGGAAAGCAATGTTCAACTGACTCACGCATAATGAGCCTCCATAAAGCTGTCAGTAGCCTATAGAGACGTTTCTATAAAATGGAAGGTGGCACGATCCAGTGGTACAAGGCTTGAGGGGTGGACGCCGCCCTTGGATGAAGCTGTAAACGGCAACCCCTGGAAAGATACAGCCCGGACAGGATGAATGGCCAGACCAGCAAATCATGGGATGATTTCAGTGACCATTCATCCTCCTCTTGGCCTGGGTCACTGCAGGGTTCAGTTGCTCCACCATACTTGGCAACCTTAAGCAAGCTCCCTGGGAGAATCCCCGCAGGGTGGAATGCTGTATTGCTAGCAGGACACACTTGCTAACTCAATCCTTATTGCAGCAACCTCTGTGGACACGAGAGGGCAGGCGTTACACAAGTGTGAGTGACAGACACTAATATGTCAGGTCAATCTTTCATCCAAGAGCAAGAATGTTTATTGAAAATGGAACTATGTAGGCCACTCAGAGTTCCGGAACAAAGGTGAACAGCTGGCAAAACACTGGCATCAAGGAAATGAATTTTATCACTTAGAATTTAACATTTTAAAAAGGGGGAAAGTCCTAGGGAAGGGACATAATCCTGAAACATTGCATTGTGAGAACAACAAGTTTTTGACAATGTAAAATAATACTTTTGCTCTTATCAGTCATTTTGGCAGCCAGGCTTTTATTTTAGATCAGGAGAAAATGAAACACTCCAGTACGAGTCAGCCAACAAACACCATTTCATAGTAAGCTTTTTGCTGAACTTAATACAAAGGGACCCTTATAGTTTAAAAATAATCATTTCAAGACTAAAAAAAACAAAAACAAAAACATGAATCACAAAATGAACAGAGCCCATCACCTCTCATGCCATTTAGACTTAGTGCTTAGTACAGCCTGGAAAAGTTTATCCTGATTAATTTATCAAATGCACCCATTTACACACCAACTTTTTTTTTTTTTTTTTTTTTTTTTTTTGTGGGACCCTCGCTGGTGGCCTGGGAACGAACCGGCACTGCAGAGGCTGCGGGCAGCCTCACAGCCCAGCGCTCAACCGCTGCGCCACTAGGGGAGGCCCTTACACACCAACATTTGCACAAACTGCTCCAAAGCGCCAAACATCAAACACTCCTTTCCAAAAGGGCCTGATCAGTGTTGACCAGTGACATGAAAACACAGCTCAGGCTTAGTCAAAGGGTCATGATTCTAAAAATAACTGCAGCATTGCCATCTCGCCATCTCTGCAATGGGAGGAGGTGCTGTCTGTCGCCCCGTCTCTTAAATCTGGGCTGGATCTGGAACTTGCTTCAGCCAGGGCCAGTTCTGAGTCTAGCCCTCAAGAGACCTTGTATACTGCTTACTCGTCTGTAGCGGTCACTGTCTTTAAATAAACCCCAGCTAGCCAGGTTTCTAGAATAAAAGATTATGCAGTCAACCCAAAGGAGATCAGCTGCTAGCTGGTCTACCCCCAAACCTGTAAGCGGGTTCATCCAAGCTCAGCAGCACTGCCCACCCAGCCCAGAGTAACCACAGATGCAGGAATGTGCCCAGCTGAGATGTCTAGAAAGAATCACTGAGCTGACCTGTGTGGACACAAAAGCACTAATAATCATGTTTTCAGCCCCAAATTTTTGGGGGTGATTTAACACAGCTATAGCTAATTGACACACTAATAGTATCCAATTTTATGATCTATTTTGCTTTTGGAATGTCTTACTGCATTTGATTTAAAGGAGATGGAGGCAACCCTCTTTCCTTTTAAACCATAAAGTAACCACTTTGCACCATACTCAACCTTTCGCCCAGCTTCTTCCCACTGCAGAAGAATAAACACAGTGTCGCTTCTCAGACTACTGGCAAGGGCCAATCTGGCTGTGCTGTCTGATCTCTAGGCCAGTCTCATGCAGATCAGTCAATAAACATTTATTAAACACTTACCATATTCCTAGCACTGGGCAGTGGTTTCCAGCCCAGGCAGTGTCAGAATTCCCTCTGTGGCTTTTTCAAAAGACATGCCCAAATTGCCCCCTCTTCTTCTCCCCTCTGCATCTCCACCGATACCTGACTGGAAGGTTGCCATCTGTAACCCAAGACTCTTCTGCCTCACTCTAAGCCAAGGAGGCCTGGGGGCTCCCTGTTACCCCCAGGACAAAATGCCACAGTCATTTGTTCCACCTTCTTTTTGCTGCACTTGGTTTTCCCAACCTCAAGAATGGCATTTCCTGGCTTCTGTTCCTGCCAAGATGCTAACTGATAGCAATCAATCTCTGTTTCCCCTTCCCGTGATGATTCTTTCACCAAATAAGTATTGAGCATGTTTCTGCCTAATCCTGCCATAGGAATGCAATCAATGGAGAATTAGCATTAATATATATTCAAGCACATCCATCTTGCAGTAGCCACTAAAGAAATGAGGTGTCATAAAGGTTCTGTATATAAAGAAGAGGGGTTTATATTCACTCGGCATCCTGTTATCCACATAAAAGTGAAATTTTTCTCCCTCAATTAATTATCATATTTACTTTAGATTACTTGTTTACTGTTTCCCTTTCCATCTATCCTGCCGCTTGTACGTAGGACTTTTTCTGTCTGTTCACTCAGCACCAAGAAAATGTTTTGACACAGTAGGTGCTCAATAAATAATTGTTGAATCTAAGGATGCAAGAGAAGATGGTTGTGACTAACCTTTACTATGCACCATAACCTTGCTTTAGAAGGACAGATAACAGCATTTCATTTTTCCAAAAAGAACACCTAGGTGCGTTATTTTTTAAAAAAATATTTAGATATTTAAAGTTAATACATGGCATTGCCAGGAATAAATGTAAGACTGACTGTCCACAAACGCCTTTGCCACTAGCCCCCACGCCTGACAAATGTGATGGGAACAGATAAGTTGTCCGGCAAATGTGACAACACACACACACACACAGTGAAGCAAATGTGGCAGAAGCGATTAAACAGAGAGTGAGTCACAAGAGTTGCATGTTCAGACAGGGTGGAGGTGGAGAAAATCACTTAATGACCAGTTAATCAAGAAAAGTATGTAAAGTAAGGTGGGATTTCTGGAGAAATAGAAGCTTCCGGAGCTAGGTGGAGGGAGATGATCAAGACATAAATTTCTTTTCCCATGCTTCTCCTTTTTAAAAGCAGATGTGTATTTTGGCATGTATTAACTTGTGGATTGTTTGTATATACTTCAGCTTTATGACCAAAGAAAAAAACATGGCCTGAAATTAATAAGAGTAATTACGGTACATTAAAAAATTTACAACGTACATGATTAGGTAGATGATTTTATAACCTATGAAAGTAGTAACATTATGGATGATGGAGACTCCACTGAATTT